CCCCCCAGGATTTTTGGGGTTTCCTACCGATTGAAAGACAATCGCACCCCCCATCCCCTCGTATCATGACATAGACCGCAGATTTGCCATGCAGATGTGCCAGGGAGTACTAATCTGCGCGACTTGTGTCACCCCCTGATGCTTGGCACCCGGGGCGGACCGCCCCCCCCCCCCTTCCGCCGCTACTGATTACATATAATACTAGCTGCCCGCCCCGGCTTCGCCCGTGGTACTTACGTGTATTATACATATAAACCTTCCTTAAGAATCACTCTATCTATTAAAAAAAAAATAAAAGGTGATTCTACAAGTGTTTTAATTTTGTCAAACTGGTAATGACGTCAATTTTGGGAGAAGGGGGGGGGGGCCATTAAGAAATGACGCTAGGATGATTGTAGGGGGGGGGGGGGTCAAAAATCTGAAAAAATCGATGACGTAATTTATGGACGGCCCCTTAGGACCTATGCTATAGGATATAAATGTTTGTTATATCGTTTTCACAATATTTTTATAAAAAATTCAGCTTGTAAACTGACGCTAAAGTGGGAATTTGAAAACCTGTGTGAACTTATCTTGATAGAATTCTTAAATACTAAACTAATCGCAATATTTTCTCAATTAACTATTTAGACGACGAAATTGCATAACTATTTATGCCTATAACATATTTGTAATATTACTGGTTAATGATTGTAACGAGTTGAAAAAGTACTGTTTTTGCGCCACTAAACGCTCTTAAGTGAAGCAGCAAATCGAATGCACAGCGTTGAATAGAGCTCTGTGATTGGTTCGTGTGTCACCCTGTGCGTCGTGTACCTGGCGGCGCGTTGTTGAGCATGGCGGGATGCAGCGCGAGCTCGGGCGGCGGGAACTGCTGCTGGTTCAGCAGCCCCAGCAGGTTGGGGCCCGTCAGGTTCTGCTGCTGGCTGCAAAGATACGTTACAGGACTTTTAAGGCTTCCACAGACCAAACGCGGGGCAGTAGCAGCGCAGTTTGAATGTGGGCCCGCGAAAATTGTAATACAAGAAACTCTTTGAAGTGTGTCACACTGAACCTGAACGCGGGCCCGCGCTCCTAGTGATGGTCAACTCGAGTACCTAACTCGAGTTAACTCGAGTTGGGCGTAACTCGAGCCCACTCGAGTTGAATTCTCTCTGACTCGAGTTCGTAAACTGTATGGAACCGACAGAAACTGCCGGTTATTGTTGTAGATTTTTGTGTTTTATGTTCTGTTTTTGAAAAATGCCGGGTCCTAAAAGAAAATCTTTAGTTTGGGACGTATTCGAATCGCCGGAGAGTGGACGCGTTGCATGTAAACAGTGTTCAGATTCATTCAAATATAGTGGAAATACGACCACATTATTAAACCACATTAAAAAAAAGCATCCTAATGTTGCCATCGAGGAAAGTCAGAGTTCATTATCAACAATGAAAGTACCTAATATGAGTACTTCGACTGATTCATCGCAGTTACTTGTATTGACAACCACATTGGATGTTGAGCCTCCTCAAAAAAGGTTAAGGCACACTCAAACCCGTCCCTGTGCCAAAAAAAAAATAACGCTAAATTTCTGGTATTAACGCTTTAATTAATTTGATAGTAAAAGATTTGTAGTCATTCAAATAGTGGAAAATTCAGGTCTAATTTTTTTAACTAAGTATTAATGCGAAGCTAAGGGATTAAACTGGTAAAAATAAATAAAAAAAATTCACTTGTCCACCCAGTTAACTCGAGTTACGTAACTCGAGTTCAACCCGAGTTATGTGGATTTTAACTCGGGTTAAATCGAGTTTTATTTTTTACGAGTTGGCCCATCATTACGCGCTCCAACCGCGCCGCACTGCAACTGCCGAACGACAAACGAGGCGGCGCGGGTGCGGGACAGAAGCAGCGCGAACGCGGGCCCGTGCTGTTGTATTACGTTACGTAGTAAAGAATCATGCATGCACGAATCACTGATGGCATAACACACAACAGTTTTTATTTAATTTTATCACAGAGAAGTTAGCAAGGTAGCCAGTTTCTATGTAGTTCCCGCCTGTGGTAGCCGTTTCCACCTTCGGCCTGATCACTTTCCATCAGGTGAGATGCAGGCCAAGAGCTTCCTCGTTGGAATTAAAAAATTGTTTCACCGTCTGTGTGCTGGCTGCAAAGATACGTTACAGCTCTTTTAAGGTCTCAGCATACGTGACTTGCTTTTTATCGTGCCGGACGGAACGGGATGATTTCTTGATCGTTGCATTTAACCGATTCGTTGCGGATGGCACGTTTCAGTGTCATCACTTTTTTGCGTATGGCGTTAGGCACGGATATGAGCCATTTTAAAAACGATGGTAACTCCTTCAATTCAGGTTCAAGGAAATTTTACCCAGAACCAAACTATCTTAATTTTCACGTATATTAAGAAGTACGTAGCCTTCGTTTCTAGTTATTGTAAGATTAAAAAAAATAGGGGTCACCAACCTTCTTTTAAAGTTGCGTTAATTGACATTAAACCATCATGGTAGATCATTTTTGGTAGAAAACTTTAAAAAAAAATCATGGTAACAAATTATTTATTAATGTCCGACCGAATCTGGCGAATTACGAATACCTACTGAGAAATTATACCTAAATATTTCTGACGTCTTTAATCGATCCTCATTCTGCTTTATTTTAATTCAGCTATCAATGCTTTCCAAACTTTATTAGAGGCTAGTGCTCACTTGATGATGTTCTGCTTGAGCAGCATGCGCTGGATGTTATCAGCTTGCGTCGCGTCTGCCGGCGTCAGCCCTGCATGCGGCGTGGGCGCGGGCGCGCGTGGCAGCCCTAGCCCTGCGCTGCTGAGCCCTGACGATGCCAGCCCTGGGGAAAGAATCATTTGTTTCAGGCAAATGAAGTCCACTGCTGGACATAGGCCTCCCCCCTCAAGAATTTCCACAATGCGGTCATCTCATCGTATCGCAAATGGCAATGCCAGATTTTGTATGGAAAGTGGCGTCTTTTTTTTTTCGCGCGGCCATCGACCAAACTTTGTTTTTTGATTACAAAATAGTGTAATAAACCAAACTTACTATGGCATGTATACCTCTAAACTCAGTCTGAACTGAGTTTAATTACGAGCATTAGAAGTTTGATGATTTTCATACTAGATTTGCTTTTTGTGCGCAAGTTTTGTAAGAAATTGCAACAAAATATTGCGCTATTTTTTTATTGCGCTGATTTTGCTCATACTGATGTCTGAGCCTTTAATGGATGGTATTGTTTGTTTACACATACAATCTCACTATTTTGTTGCAATTTCTTACAAAACTTTGCGCGCAAAAAGCAAATCTAGTATGAAAATCATCAAACTTCTAATGCTCGTAACTCAGTTCAGACTGAGTTTAGAGGTATACATGTCATAGTAAGTTTGGTTTATTACACTATTTTGTAATCAAAAAACAAAGTTTGGTCGATGGCCGCGCGAAAAAAAAAAGACGCCAATTTCCGGCATTGTCTTTTTTCACAGACCGGAAGACGTAGTGTGGAGAAGCTTCCCACTAAGTGGACTAACGTTTAGTAAAGGTCGTGAGAAGCACTTGGATGCGGGTAGCGCAGCCCCCCTACCCAAGTGGCAAGACGTGACAGCGGAGCGAAGTAACTACATTAAAAGAAACCTCCGGAGCGACGGAATTTCAAAATTACATCTTTCACGTTTTGCTACTCGCCTAGGGGAGCTGCTATATTCAAAATTTCGGATAGTATTTTTGAGATTAACTTCGTTGGTTATATCAAACATAACGACATAACACGGCCTTAAGGATACCACTGTCGCAGTGCTTACCAGCTGCAGCGAGTCCTGTAGCCAGCCCCACATGGAGCCCTAAGGCTTGCGGCGCGGGCGCAGCCAACGGCGCGGTGGGCAGCAATGGCGGCGCGTCGGTAGCTATCTGCAATGGCGTGCTGAGGCTGCCCAGGGAAGGCTGCAGCGCTGCTTGCAGAAGCGTCGGGTCTATTACCTACGGCTGCGATCCTGTAGCTAGCCCCACATGGAGCCCAAAGGCCTGCGGCGCAGGCGTAGCAAACGACGTGGGGGTCAATAGCGGCGGGACCCCTAAGAATAAGGGATTACCTGCTGCAGCAAGCCCTGTAGCCAGCCCCACATGGAGCCCTAGCATCTACAGCGCGGGCGAAGCGAGCAGCAGCGGCGGTACACTTGAGGATAAAGGACCACTGTCGCAGTGCTTACCGGCTGCAGCGAGCCCTGTAGCCAGCCCGACATGGAGCCCTAACGCTTGCGGTGCAGGCATCAATAATGGTGGGACACCTGACTATAAGGGACCATAGTCTCAGTGCATACCTGCTGCAGCGAGCCTCGTAACCAGCCCGACATGGAGCCCTAACGCTTGCGGTGCCTTGCCTCTTACGCAAAACGAGATGCTAGCAACAGCGACGGTGACAGATAGACCCGAAACTACAATAACAGCGTTCCGAAGTAACCCTAAAGGGACCAAGGTTGCACTGCTTACCAGCTGCAGCGAGTCCCGTAGCCAGCCCCACATGGAGCCCTAAGGCTTGCGGCGCGGGCGCAGCCAACGGCGCGGTGGGCAGCAATGGCGGCGCGTCGGTGGCGATCTGTAGCGGCGTGCTGAGGTTGCCCAGGGAAGGCTGTAAAGCTGCTTGCAGGAGCGTCGGGTCTATTACCTGTGGCTGCGGGCAATATAGCTAGCCCGACGTAGAGCCCTAAGGCCTGCGGCGTGGGCGCAGCGAATGACGTGGGGGTCAATAGCGGCGGGACTCCTATGAATAAGGGACCACTGCCTCTGTGCTAAGCTGCTGTCGCGAGCCCCGTAGCCAGCCGAAGCCCTAGCATCTGCAGCAGCGGCGGCGATACACTTAAGGATAAGGAACCACTGTCGCAGTGCAGCTAGCCCTATAGCCAAGGCCACATGGAACTCTAACGCTTGCAGTGCAGGCGTCAATAATGATTGGACACCTGAGTATAAGGGACCATAGTCTCAGTTCATACCTGCTGCAGCGAGCCCCGTAGCCAGGCCCACATGAAACTCTAACGCTTGCGGTGCAGGCGTCAATAATGATTGGACACCTGAGTATAAGGGACCATAGTCTCAGTGCTTACCAGCTGCTGCGAGTCCTGTAGCCAGCCCCACGTGGAGCCCTAAGGCTTGCGGCGCGGGCGCAGCCAACGGCGCGGTGGGCAGCAATGGCGGCGCGTCGGTGGCGATCTGTAGCGGCGTGCTGAGGTTGCCCAGGGAAGGCTGCAGCGCTGCTTGCAGATGTGTCAAGTCTATTACCTGCAGCCGCGAGCCCTGTAGCCAGTCCCACATGGAGCCCTAAGGCTTGCGGCGCGGGCGCAGCGAGCAGCAGCGGCGCTTGCGGTGCAGGCGTCAATATTGGTGGGACACCTAAGGATAAAGGACCACTATCGCAGTGCTTACTAGCTGCTGCGAGTCCTGTAGCCAGCCCCACATGGAGCCCTAAGGCCTGCGGCGCAGGCGCAGCGAGCGGCAAGACACCTTACGCAAAGCGAGATGCTGGCAACAGCGACGGTGAGAGACAGACCCGAAACTACGTTAACAGCGTTCCGAAGTAACCCTAAAGGGACCAAGGTTGCACTGCTTACCTGCTGCTTGCGAGCCCTGTTGTCAGTCCTACATGGAGCCCTAAGGATTGCAGCGCGGGTGTAGCGAGCAGCAGCGGCGACACACTTAGAGCCTGTCCAGATGACACGATTTTACTCGTGAGTTTCGGAATCGCGCGACAGTGAGATACTGGAAGTTCACACATTCTGTCCACATGCAGTCGTGCGTTTCGCCCAAGAATCTCCATCGCGCGAGTAAAAACGCGTCATCTGGACACGGCCTTAAGGATACCACTGTCGTAGTGCTTACCAGCTGCAGCGAGCCCTGTAGCCAGCCCCACATGGAGCCCTAAGGCTTGCGGCGCGGGCGCAGCGAGTGGCGCCGTGGGCAGCAATGGCGGCGCGTCGGTGGCGATCTGCAGCGGTGTGCTGAGGCTGCCCAGTGAAGGCTGTAAAGCTGCCTGTAGGAGCGTCGGGTCGATTCCCGCCTGGAAATATGATGGATGTTATGAATATTTGCCAAACTGCAGTGACGAAAAAATACAAGTTCAACACTGTTCACAAAAAAGAGCAATTATTTGAAATTTACCACACTGGATGCGTTCTGCGGTCAGGTCAAAATTATCATAAAGATCTGAACGGTCATTAAGGTCTATTCCCACCTCTCGTCGCACCACTGCAATTCTTGTCTAGCCAGAATCTACTTGGACGCCCAACCAATGAAGATCAAGTTTGTCCCGGGGGGAAGTTAACCTGATAGGGTACATTATCAGAAGACGCAACGAACTTAATCAGAAGAACACAGGAACTTAAAAGATCTTTGTGATGGTCTCAAACTGACGAACGAACAAATGCAATGTGTGCATGACACATTTTTTGCGGCGTATTGGTTTTATTTTGATTACTTTGTGTATGTTAATTAAAAGGAAGTAAAATTAAACTGAGCAGTCCCACCCTGTCGCAACAGCGATGCCCATCGCAATGGGACTCCACTCAGCATATGCCGTGGCCCACGATGGGGAAGGCCACGACACTGGTTTTCAGTGTGCCCCATGGCGAGTGGAAGTCACGGACAATAACCTAAACTGCATATCAACAAGACCGTGTTACCAGCGGGAACTGATGCGGCAGCAACGGCACGCTTGGGTGCACAGCTCCCGGCTCCTGGGAATTCGGCCGGGGTTGCGCGGCGCGGGCTGCGCCGGGCACATTCTTGAAAGCTTGCAGCCACTAAGGCCCTTTTCACACGTCCCGGTTGCCGGCTAACCGGCGCCGGTGAAGGTTATGGGCATGCCGGATTAATTACGCCGGAACATGTGAAAGCTACGTACCACGCCCATACACTTCACCACCGGATACCCGGCGCCGGTTAGCCGGCAACCGGGACGTGTGAAAAGGGCCTAAGACTGTCTTGTCATGAATGTCTGTGATGAACCAAGTTCATACCTGCGGAAACTGAAGCGGCAACAACGGCACGCTCGGGTGCACAGCACCCGCGTGCGCGTTCTTGAAAGCTTGCAGCCGCCTCCGCCTCTGTGGTCTAGTGGTAAGACCACCTGCGTCAGACGCAAAGGACCCGGGTTCGATTCCCAGTGGGGGCAGATTTTTCTGTTCGGTTCGGTTGGTGGTAGGGCTCGTTCTAAGTCCGCCTGGCTAGCTACCACCATCTTACCTAAGTCTGTCGCCATAACAACAATGTTAACAGCATTGTTGTGTTCCGGCAGTCAGAGGTAAGATAGCCAGTTCCTCCGTGGTTGAGGATTTCGGGTGAAGCTCGCTTCCACCTTCGGCCTGATCGTCACTTACCATCAGGTGAGATACAGGCCAAGAGCTTCCTCGTTGTGGATAAAAAAATAAAAAAAGGCCTCTAAGACTGTCTTGTCATAATGAACCAAGTTGTTACCTGTGGGAACTGATGCGGCAACAGCGGCACGCTCGGGTGCACAGCTCCCGGCTCCTGGGAGTCCGGCCGGGGCTGTGCGGGCTGCGGCGGGTACATTCTCGAAAGCTGGCAGCCTCTAAGACTGTCTTGTCATGATGAACCAAGTTGCTACCTGCGGAAACTGATGCGGCAACAACGGCACGCTCGGGTGCACGGCTCCCGGCTCCTGGGAATCCGGCCGGGGCTGTGCAGGCGCCGCCGCCTCTGTGGTCTAGTGGTAAGACCACCTGCGTCAGACGCAGAGGTCCCGGGTTCGATTCCCAGTGGGAGCAGATTTTTCTGTTCGGTTCGGTTGGTGGTAGGGCTCGTTCTAAGTCCGCCTGGCTAGCTACCACCATCTCACCTAAGTCTGTCGCTATAACAACAATGTTAACAGCATTGTTGTGTTCCGGCAGTCAGAGGTAAGATAGCCAGTTCCTCCGTGGTTGAGGATTCCGGGTGAAGCTCGCTTCCACCTTCGGCCTGATCGTCACTTACCATCAGGTGAGATACAGGCCAAGAGCTTCCTCGTTGTGGATAAAAAAATAAAAAAAAGCCTCTAACAGTCATGATGAACCAAGTTCATACCTGCGGAAACTGATGCGGCAACAACGGCACGCTCGGGTGCACAGCTCCCGGCTCCTGGGAGTCCGGCCGGGGCTGCGCAGGCGCCGCCGGGACGGGCGCGGGTTGCGGCGGGGGCGGGGCCTCGGCCACGGTCTGGGTGGCCTGAGCCGGTGCTGGGTACTGGTGGGTTGGCACGCGGCTTTCCTGGACCACGATAAGGTTACATTGTGGAATGTTTAATATTATGTGGTTTAACTAAATGTATGGAAGTTGGAAATATTGAATTTTCGGATAGATCCAGTTTATTTTGTAACCTATAATTGGTACCGTTGGATAGAGCTCGTGAAGGACTTTCAGGATCAGTAACCAGTTTTTAGATATCTTGTATAGTTTAGAAATAATCGAGTGAGATCACTTATCGTTTCCACCCTGTACAACGATAAAAAAACAAATCTAAGGTACGATACGGATACAAACTATACAGGTTCGGCCCTAATAATATCTTTTTCGTAGACCTTAGACAGGATCACAACTTCAGCTAACGCCACAAACCTCCCAACCCCAATTGACACTAAAGGAAAAGTTGCAGCTGGAAATTGATAAGAGTATGAAATGCCCAGATCCTGAAGTACAACTACAAAGTGAATCGGGCTTGACAAATAGTATCAGACGTGAAATGAGCCTGTTTGAAAATGGCGGAGTTCATGGATGGAAATTACTTAGAATTAGCATATAAGTATCTATTTTATACCTCCAACGAGTGTAGAACCCGAGCAAGCGTTTTCAGCTGCTGCTTTTGTTGGAAATAAATTACGAAGCAGGCTATATTGGATGCTTTGACATTTCTAAGATTCTATTTCCGAAATTCTAAATAGTGCTTTTGATTTGTATATATTTTTTTTATTTTAGTATAATAATACTAAAATAAAAAAAATTGCAATAGCAAATAACAATATTTAAAACATCTTTTGAGAAATTATACCTTAAGTTTTTTTTATTAGAACCCAATTCCCACATAAGGCTGATTCCGCGTGATCCCGGGATAGTCCCGGGATCCCGGGATTACCCAGATAAAATCCCGTAATCCCGGGATTGAAAAACATGCTCGGGATTGTATTCTCTAAATGGGTCTCATATAAATATCACGCGGTCCTCACGCGCCTCATTTTTGTTTTAATGTAGTTTTTCAGTTATTGAAAGACAATGGGTGCGTTTGACGGAATAAAGCGCTTATAAGCAAAATAGCGTACGCTACGGCAGTTTTCGGCAAGACGCTACGATTTGCTAACTTCAATAGTAGTATAGTGACGTACTTCATTCATTTTTTTTAGCAGTGACAGCACTTACCGCTTCACGATCACCATTTTGCTTATAAGCGCTTCTTAGTGCTATTTTCGCGACGACAACAACTACCACAATGACAAAATCAATCCGTCAAACTTCATCAATCCTAAAATTTACATCAATATTTGTACCTATAAGAACAAACTCCATTTTAGAACTAAGAATACGCAAGCAGTATTTAGAATCATATCCTCCATACATCAATATAATACCTGTGGCACAACTTGCGCGACAGCCGCCGTAACCGGCGCCGCCGACGTCACAGCGGGCGGCGACGTCACCGCAGCGGTAGCTACCGACGTGGCCGTAACCGCTGACGTCACGTCCTCCCTCCTCTCCTCCCTCCCCTCGTCCTCCGCCTCCTCCCCGCGGTCCACGACGGGGCTGACTAGAAATCTGGAGATCTTCCGCGTGGGCTTCTGACTTTTTTTCTCGCCGTTCTGAGACTCTGTGCTGCCGGAACGCTCCGGCGCCATTGACCCGCCGTCGGATTGATTTGAACCTGGAGTAAAATTATTATTAGGAAGTGTTGAAGTGTAAACCATGGCGAAATACGGTTATCAAAACCAAGTCGTTGCCAAAACAAAAGGAGAAGATTGTATTAACCGTTGTCTCCTGTCTGTTCTGGTGAATGGTTGTCAAAGTTAATCATCATTTATCATCATCTTTTCAGCCACTCGTCATCGCCGAGGACGTACACGGCTGAACATAGGCCGCCCCCCAATGATTTCCATATCGCCCAGCAGCCTGCATCCAGCGCCTTCCTGCTACCTCATGCGCTGCGTTTTTCTGTACGTGACCTCCACTCCAGAACCTTGCTGCTCCATCGGCATGTCATCCCCATCTCGGAGATCCGTAAACGAAATAAAGTCACTGACATGGCCCGACGGATTAGCAAGCTGAAGTGGCAATGGGCAGGGCACATTTCTTCTTTACATAGCGAATATTTTTACAATGGGTGAAGAATACGAACACGTACGTCACTAGCGAGTAAGTGAGTTCGTGAATTCCTTGTGGTGGTTTTCCATGCCTACTCTGGGAGATGAATGATGGCTCGGGCAGGTCGTAGGCGAGCTCGGCGGGATGTTGTCACCAGGTACCTATGGACGAGGCGGTGCTGGTCTTGCGGCTGGCTCGCGGCGCGGGCGCGGGCAGGTCGTAGGCGAGCTCGGCGGGATGTTGTCGCCAGGTACCTATGGACGAGGCGGTGCTGGTCTTGCGGCTGGCTCGCGGCGCGGGCGCGGGCAGGTCGTAGGCGAGCTCGGCGGGATGTTGTCACCAGGTACCTATGGACGAGGCGGTGCTGGTCTTGCGGCTGGCTCGCGGCGCGGGCGCGGGCAGGTCGTAGGCGAGCTCGGCGGGATGTTGTCGCCAGGTACCTATGGACGAGGCGGTGCTGGTCTTGCGGCTGGCTCGCGGCGCGGGCGCGGGCAGGTCGTAGGCGAGCTCGGCGGGATGTTGTCACCAGGTACCTATGGACGAGGCGGTGCTGGTCTTGCGGCTGGCTCGCGGCGCGGGCGCGGGCAGGTCGTAGGCGAGCTCGGCGGGATGTTGTCGCCAGGTACCTATGGACGAGGCGGTGCTGGTCTTGCGGCTGGCTCGCGGCGCGGGCGCGGGCAGGTCGTAGGCGAGCTCGGCGGGATGTTGTCACCAGGTACCTATGGACGAGGCGGTGCTGGTCTTGCGGCTGGCTCGCGGCGCGGGCGCGGGCAGGTCGTAGGCGAGCTCGGCGGGATGTTGTCGCCAGGTACCTATGGACGAGGCGGTGCTGGTCTTGCGGCTGGCTCGCGGCGCGGGCGCGGGCAGGTCGTAGGCGAGCTCGGCGGGATGTTGTCACCAGGTACCTATGGACGAGGCGGTGCTGGTCTTGCGGCTGGCTCGCGGCGCGGGCGCGGGCAGGTCGTAGGCGAGCTCGGCGGGATGTTGTCACCAGGTACCTATGGACGAGGCGGTGCTGGTCTTGCGGCTGGCTCGCGGCGCGGGCGCGGGCAGGTCGTAGGCGAGCTCGGCGGGATGTTGTCACCAGGTACCTATGGACGAGGCGGTGCTGGTCTTGCGGCTGGCTCGCGGCGCGGGCGCGGGCAGGTCGTAGGCGAGCTCGGCGGGATGTTGTCACCAGGTACCTATGGACGAGGCGGTGCTGGTCTTGCGGCTGGCTCGCGGCGCGGGCGCGGGCAGGTCGTAGGCGAGCTCGGCGGGATGTTGTCACCAGGTACCTATGGACGAGGCGGTGCTGGTCTTGCGGCTGGCTCGCGGCGCGGGCGCGGGCAGGTCGTAGGCGAGCTCGGCGGGATGTTGTCACCAGGTACCTATGGACGAGGCGGTGCTGGTCTTGCGGCTGGCTCGCGGCGCGGGCGCGGGCAGGTCGTAGGCGAGCTCGGCGGGATGTTGTCACCAGGTACCTATGGACGAGGCGGTGCTGGTCTTGCGGCTGGCTCGCGGCGCGGGCGCGGGCGCGGGCTCGGGCTCGGGCAGGTCGTAGGCGAGCTCGGCGGCGATGTTGTCGTGGCTGGCGGTGGGCGTGGTGCACTCCGAGTTGTCCTGGTTGGAGTCCGTCAGGTTTTCTTCACGCTCCGTCGTCTCCGAGTCGTAGTCAGTCTGCTTGGAAGGAGTGAGTGATTAGTTTATTTTATCCTTACGTTTGAGTGGGTTTCTACCGTTCTTGCAATAAAGGTCATAGATTTCTGTGTTCCGTTACTGTGGACCTCATAAGAGTCAAGGTCACCCAAATGGACCGTGCTGTGATCAGAATTTCTCTACGGGATCGAATCAGAAGTAAAGAGACCCAAAGAAGAACCAAAGTAACCTACAAAGCCGGCATGACTACAAATTGCAAGCATATAGCTCCACCTTCGGCCTGATCATCACTTACCATCAGGTGAGATACAGGCCAAGAGCTTCCTCGTAGTGGATAAAAAAAATTTAGCTTATAAAATCAATGGCAGTTGGGGCGGAAAAGGTCACCCAAGTGACCACGGTCCGGAAAAAGCAATGTGGGAAGGCCTTTGTGGTCTTGTGGATCGACGACAAGGAGGTGCCTAAATACGGACAACGCAAGATCGGTCATTGTAAAAATCTTCAGGGAAGGCTTTTGTTCAAGTGGGCATATGATCTCCATGATCACTCCAAGTCGTTACATTGTCGATGATGTTACCTTGTCTATGGTAAGCCGCAACGCGGAGTGGTGCTGGTGGTTGAGCACGGGCGTAACTCCTGGCTCGGCCTGCAGCTGGCCCACGATGTCCCGGATTAGTTCCGTGAACACTGAGCTCTGCCACTCTGGTAGTAAGTTGTTTGACACCTGTGGAATAAAGGATGAGGCTTAATTAGTTAGAGGTATAAGGCTTGATTTTCTCCTACGCTGCAAAAGGCGCGCAAGTCGTACGAATCAGCAGCTATAAACGAACCGCTGACGTCAGCATTAAGTGCATTTCAGTCAACCGGTATAATTAATTGCCCAAGTAATTGGGCAAGTCAGAAGGACCTAAGGCATATTTTCTAATTAGATCCTGGTGCTTCGTCACCTCGCCAAAGTGGAAGTCGAAGGAAACTGTAAAATTCCGGACAAATCCTTCACTATCAGTCTCTCCTGTAACCTAACCCCTACTCGGCATGTCTATAATAATAATAATAATAATAATAATTTATTCATTAAAATAAGAACATTATAAGAACTTATTATGCTAGAGTTTACATATAGTTCAATAGTCTTTTGTAGCCTGAACTAGGTTAAAAACCTGTGTTTCAGGCGAAAAAAGATCACACGTAAAATAGTAATTAAGTAATAATTAAATAAATTAACAATTTGCTATATTATATAAAATTTTTTTTAAGAATACTTAGGTTAAAACTTAGATTACATAGGTACTACAAGTAGCTCCTCGGTTAAGTCATATGTCAAACATTGAAGATACTTAAATACGGCTATTTTACAGTTATATAAATTTAGGGCATATATGTTAAGAGTCTTATTTAATTTATTGTATGATCGGCGTAAGCTCACTACACTCACTAGTTGCTAGCTGCCTCCTTGGTCGCTAATTTCCGCTGTATATTTCCGAATACGCTCAGTTTAGGAAGCTTGTCTTGAGGGCGGGTCGCACGGACCCAGCTACAAGGTACACTCACCAGGTTGCTGGTTATCTCCTCGGGGTTGACGTCGGTGACGTTGAACTTGAAGGTGACGGTCTTGGACATTTATTTATTTATTTATTTATAATCTGCTTGAAGGCTTACAGAAAGTCCAACGCGCCAACAAGTTATACAATACAGATAGTTTATAATATCAATTTCAATATGGACATGGACTCGAGCTGACGTTCCACCACGCTGGCCTCCTCGCTAACTTCCAACACGCTCAGTTTGGGCAGCTTGTCTTGAGGACGGGTCGCATGGACCCAGCTATGAGCTACACTCACCAGGTTGCTGGCTATCTCCTCTGGATTGACGTCGGTGACGTTGAACTTGAAGGTGACGGTCTTGGACTTGGATTCTAACTGGCACTCCACCACGCGAGGCCTCCTTGCCAACTTCCAACACGCTCAGTTTAGGAAGCTTGTCTTGTGGGCGGGTCGCGTGGACCCAGCTATAAGCTACTCACCAGGTTGCTGGCTATCTCCTCGGGGTTGACGTCGGTGACGTTGAACTTGAAGGTGACGGTCTTGGACTTGGACTCGAGCTGACATTCCACAACGCTCGCCTCTTCACTGACTTCCAAAACGCTCAGTTTCGGCAGCTTGTCTTTCTCGCGTGAGCGTTTTTTGGAACCCCGCGATTTTTTCTCGCTGGTGATGGGAGAAGGTATCGCGGTGCCTACTGGAATTGTAAAGAAGATATTTTAAGAAGGGAATACAATCAGCAATTTGCTTGTAGCTACAGGCATTTAAATATGATAAATAAATAGATGATTACAATATGAAAAATGGGAATCATGCCGTAGTTACTGGCGTTCAGTGGCCTCTAGAAATCGCGTCAACCAGGATAAGAATAGACTAAGGAAATCGTAACTTTACATTTGACAAAAAAATACACTTGCGAGCAAAAGTATGGAATCACCCTACTTGTTCCGAGGGATAGTAAGAACTAAATGACTAATAGAAGATAAATAAAAATGGTACCATTTTACAGTTAATGTTTTATACTTTAAATTGATACTATAGATAGATACATACATATTCATTCAGTTCTTAAGATGGCTCGAAACCAAACACAACGGCGTGATTCCATACTTTTGCTCGTAAGTATAGATAAAAAAGCATATAAATTGTTAATTTTGTTTGAGAATGCTTGCTACAACATACAACAGAACTGTCACTAAAAAAAAAATAACAAGACTCACCTTCCTGCGTTTCCGCTTGTTTCTCCTCAACCGAACTAAGCTCTGGATGCCTGATGGCCTCCTGGTGCGTGGCCCCCGACGGGAACTCACTAAGCGGCGTCAGGAACTGTTCCTTCTGCCCCCCGTTGCTATGGTAACCGTTCTCGGTCTGCTCCGCATTCAGGTTGAGTTGTTCTGGCACCGGTTGCGGTAAGGATGTCGGGACTTGGGGCACAGTGTTTATTTGCTGAGGGAACTGAGCCGTTTGGACTGGCTGCTGAACTGTGGACTGAGGTAGAGACTGTATAGGAGCGGATATCTGCTGAGGAACTGATTGCATAGGCTGGGGGACAGATTGCACGGGTTGAGGGATAGAGTGCGCTACGGATTGAGGAATAGACTGAACCGGTTGAGGTAAGGATTGCGCCGGTTGCGGGACAGAGGATAGAGGTTGAGGCGCCGGCTGAGGAAGCGATTGAGGCACGGAGGCGACGGGTTGAGGCATCGACTGCACCGGCTGAGCTACCGACTGTACCGCCAGCTGAGAAACATCCTGTTGAATTGACTGCGGAATATTCTGAGCAACCGGCTGCGGGACTGACGACTCCACCTGGTACTGCATATTCTGGAGAATTTGCTGTACCGGCTGGCTCTGAGCCTGCTGGTACATCTGCAGAGGATTCGCTGTGTAGTTCTGCACAGGCGTGCCTTCATGACTAGATATCTGCCTCTCGTTCTGTTGAACCACGCTAAAGTTCTGCGCCATCATATTGTGAGGCAGCGATTGGCCTTGCAGCGCGTGAAGTTGCTGATGATAGTTATGATCTTCCGACTGCTGTTTGTGGATCTGATTCTGCAGGTTTTGGTACTGTATCTGATCTATTGACATCTGCGGTTGTAAAGGAACTTTCTGCTGCTGCTGTTGTTGTTGTTGTTGCTGCTGTTGATACTGGTCTTGGACCATTTGGTTTTGAATTTGCTGGTCGTAGACATCAGCGGAACTGATCTGACTCTGCTCTGAACCCTGGCGGTGGTAGACAGGCCTCTGAGCTCGGAGAATCTCCTCAACCTTCTGCTGGTGTTGCCCCACTATTTGCTGTTGTTGAGCGAATAAAGCCAGATTTTGCTGATCAATAAAGTTTTGCTGCGACTGAAGTTGCAACTCCTGCTGAGCCAAATACTGCTGCTGTTGGAGATTTCTGATGTGCTGCGGAGATAGAGTCTGGCCAGGCATCTGTAGCGGCTGTTGGGTCAGCATTTGTTGTTGGAGGACTAGTTGCTGCTGGGCCAACATCTGCTTTTGGATATTCAGCTGCTGTTGAGCTTGAGACAGCTGCTGTTGAGCCTGTGCCACTTGTTGCTGTTGGGCCAAAAGAGTGGGGTCTACGGCCGTTAATATGGGCTGCATATACTGCTGGCTCTGCTGCAGCATCTGAACGTTTTGCTGCTGTATTTGGGCACCTATTAAGTTCTGCATCTTCTGCTTCATTTCCTCCTGCTGCTGATCTACGTTTTCCGTTTGCTGAACCATCTGGGCTTGCTGTTGCTGCGGTTGCTGAGCTTCAGACTCTGATTCTTTCCTTGGCTGAAGGTTGTCGGGCCTGTGTATGATTTGCGTGAGGATGTTCTGGAGGTTCTGAAGGGAAGGGTCGAGGATCTGGCCCGTGACGAGGTTCTGTGGCGCGGCCATCATGTTCTCCTGGTTGAGTTGCTCTTCTAACTGTTTCTGCTGAATGGCGGCCGCTTGCTGAGCGATTATGTTCTGTTGCTGCTGAATTATTTGTTGCTGGAGCACCTGGAATAAACATCACCATTTCAGCCACAGGGCATCCACTGCTTAACATAGGCCTCCCCCAATGCTTTCCATGTTGATCGATTGTTTGGAATAGACATATTAGTAAATATTTTTTCAATAAATAGTGGACAGAGGTATCATGATGACCTATGACAGCAAATCAGATCCAGGAGTCAACAGATTATGAAATAGTCATTAAAATTTCTTACAGATTAGAGTCGCCTGGGCAGTCCGATTTTTTTCAAGTTGTTTATTTACGATCACGAAATGTTATTTTAGCTAAACTATTGTTCCAAAAGGTTGTTAGGAAAAAAAGCCTAAGAAAAATTACATGACTCCTTGTGAAATACAAGGCTTCGTGAAGCCGTTAGGTAGATCCTAGATGTAGGTAAACACTCTACCTGCTGCTGATCGTTGATCTGCTGTTGCTGCTGCTGAGGCACGCTGCTGTCCAGCATGCCCTGCTGCTGCTGCTCCAGCATCTGGTGGTTCAGGAGGTTCTGCTCCATCATTACCTGAAAACGACATAATTAAACTTAGACATAAGTTGAAAGACGTAGCGTGGGCAGGCCTCCTACTAGGTCAGTGGTTCTTAACCGGTGGTCCGCGGACCACTGGTGATCCCTGGAGGCATTCCTAGTGGTCCACGAAGACATCGTAATAAACAAGTGACGTGACGTGATGAGTAGAGTCAACACAACGTAAACGCAGACCTCCCCTTTCATAGGATTTTGAAAAAACATAGTGGTCCCTGACAAGACAGAAATTTGGTAAAATGGTCCCTCGTGACATAAAGGTTAAGAACCACTGTACTTGGTGGACCGACGATCTGGTAAAGGTCGTGAGAAGAGCCTGGATGCGGACAGCGCAGGATCGTGCATTGTGGAAAACTTTGAAGGAGGCCTTTGTCCAGCAGTGGAAGTCATTTGGCTGAAACGAACGATGGATATAGGAAATAAACCAAGGCGCCTGTGAGTTATGTGGGGCTTTCCCAGTAATATGGGCAATGCCCATCCACTATGCACCTGCAGGTATCTTACAGAGCATATTGGAACGGAACTATGTACCAAATAAAGTCCAAGACTACAAGGCTTCTTTCTAGATTTCAAGAAGAGAGCGCATCTTCACATTAAAGGCCAGCAACGCAACTGTAACGCCCCTGGGACTGCGGGTGTCTATGGACGACGGCAATCACATACCACTAGGTGATCCGTCTGCTCTTTTGCTTCCTGTCACATAATAAAGGCCTTCTAGTCTACGACTACGACCTACTGCTACTGTCGACAGTAGTGTAGGGACTCTAATGTTCTTCTGATTAATTTCGTTACACTTAAACTTCCCTGGTTGGGTATTCATTGGCGATCAAGCTGTAGATCCTGGCTACACAGGAGTTGCAGCGGTGGAAATGAGATGCGAATAAAAAAAGACTAGTAGGCTTCTTGCCTTCTAGTGTAGGGACATGACGTCGTCAACGAACTGACATATACGCCCGTATTCACAAACGATTTGAAGCAGCAAATCGAACGCAAAGCGTTGAATAGAGCTCTGTGATTGGTTCGTGTGTCACCCTATGCGTCCACGCGCACTGTGAGACCTACATACATAGTAATACATAGTAAGACATCTTCTTCTTTTCGTGTCGACAACAAACCTACACAGTGTCAGCCCAAAACTCCGCCACAAGAGTGGCGTTGTCAGCAGCACTCATCAAATTCTCCTGAGTGCAGTTGCTTGGGCACTCAGGGCACGACATCAGGTGCTTCACCGACTGGGGAACAGTGTTCCCTAGTCGATAGTAAGACATAGCAATGTTAGTGAATTCGGGCGACAGCATCCGAAGACCATCTGACCTGCTGCTGGATGCCGCAGTAGTGCGGAGACATTCGCGCCTGCATGAGCTGGTGTTGCAGCAACTGCATGGCGGTCTCCTCGTTGTTCAGCTGGAACTGGTGCTGGAGCATGTCTTCTAGTGTAGGGACATGACGACGTCAGCCAACTGACATATACGCCCGTATTCACAAACGATTTGATGCAGCAAATCGAACGCAAAGCGTTGAATAGAGCTTTGATTGGTTCGTGTGTCACCCTATGCGTATACGCGCACTGTGAGACCTACATACATAGTAATACATAGTAAGACATCTTCTTCTTTTCGTGTCGACAACAAACCTACACAGTGTCAGCCCAAAACTCCACCACAAGAGTGGCGTTGTCAGTAGCACTCATCAAATCCTCCTGAGTGCAGTTATTGCTTGGGCACTTAGGGCACGACATCCTGGGGAACAGTGTTCCCCAGTCGATAGTAAGACATAGTAATGTATGTATGTGAATACGGGCGACAGCATCCGAAGACCTGGACTGACCTGCTGCTGGATGCCGCAGTAGTGCGGAGACATTCGCGCCTGCATGAGCTGGTGTTGCAGTAACTGCATGGCGGTCTCCTCGTTGTTCAGCTGGAACTGGTGCTGCAGCAGCTGCTGTTGCGCCTGCAAGATTTGGGACTGTTGGTCTAGCCTGCAAATTGTATAAAAGTACGTTAGTTTGCAAATTGGGGAGGGTTACCAACCCCTGCCGATTGCTAACTTCCCAATCGAGCCTACCTCTTCATCACTCATCAAATTATGTGGATAAATGAAAGAATACATAAACGAACGACCATAGCTCAAGATTTATTTGCCACAATATAGGTCGCGCAACGAGAGTTGAGTCTATCAATACAGGCAAAGATTTGTAACTGTATACGCCGTTTGCATTTTCTTGCAGAATCGGACTGACAATTGCTTTCTGTCTCGCTTGCAGATATTTAACTAGAGAACAAGAGCGAGGTAGCAAGTGTAGATGTTAATTTAAACGTGTAATGTGTTGTTTGTGTTCTGTATTCAAATATTACATCAGTGAGAGTACATGTTCGCCTCAACTTTCGTTGAGCGACCTATACACTACTTTTGATAAATAGTCGTGTGTCTCATCCATTACTGTAATACGTTGAAGTTTTAGTGAATACGTACTGTACACTGGCTAGCGTCGGTTGTGGTCCCACGCCGTTCAGGAGTCCAGAGTTCACCTGGTCCACCGGGCCTACCTGCTGTTGGTTTTGGATCATCTTCACCTGTTAAATAATTGTAATTTGTTAAAAGCTTTATAATATATATTAAAAACTAGCAAAAAATAGTGTAGCCTTCAAGGAAAAAGAAGTATTGCCGCGAGCTCAATAAAATTTTACTTCGTACAATATTCGGAAATCCAGCTTTTCAATACAAATTAAGATCAATTTGTGAGTTTTGTTTTTGGCCCATTTTACGCGTTATAATACGAATTTATTTATCCCGTCAGATTATGTTCCAACATACGTTCTAATGTGACAATTTTCATTTTATTTTCTTGATGTTGTTTTGTGTCGCTGACTAAAACATTTCCTTCTCCTATTATTTGTTTTTAACCAACCTTTTTAATTCGATATGAATAAAATGGACACTTGACTATTTTATTAATAATTAATTAGTACCTGCATCAGTTGTTGTTCCAGCAACAGGTTCTGCTCATTGAGCAGGTCCTGGTTAAACAGCATCTGTGCTTTCTTCTCACTCCTCTCCCTGGAACAAGAACATGCATTCATTTTACTAATGTCAGAGTCATATCATATCGTCAACGCAAAAATTTCTGAAAAACTAAGAAAGTACTTTTGAATATTCGTTATTCGTTAATTCGTAAATAAAGTGAAGTTTTAAAATGTGTTTCTTGATTAAATAGCACACTACGCCGCGTTTACCCAATGATACACTAGAAAAATGCTGAGCGCTACAAAGAAAAAACCCACATTGATAAAGAATGGATTCTAAATGTCCTCGTCTCATCGTAAATTACAGTGTATGAGGTATATTCGGGGCATACCTCGTACTTTCCACATTTGTATGACACTGTAAAAGATTCCACAAACGTATTTCAAACAAACGGCTTTCCTATGCACGCCACGTAAGTCGACTCTTAACTTCGAACGCCTCCTATGTTCTTCTGATTAATTTGGTTGCGGGTCTAATAACAGTTTAGCTTTCCTCCAGGATAAATCTGGCCTTCACTAGTTGGGTTATAGGCGGTCAAGCTGGGAAATGTAGGCTCTTGTAAAATAAGTTTCCATAAAACTGTCCTACCACTACTTCAGGGCAATAATATAGAACTGAAAACAACGCGCGAAAGTGTGGTGTAATTAAATACCTATCCGTAAATTAGCAGACTGACATTGAATAACCCAACCGTTACAAGGTAAATATGTACGAACATTATTATTTTCCCTTTCGTTTGTTTTAATTTGCAAAAACTATGGCGTGCGGAGCATAATAGTTTTTATTTTACTTGTATTGCGTGCGGTTTTCATGTGCATGGTGATATCTTAATTTTCAATATCTTTTTAAGCTATTGAAACAACTTTTAAATGTAATTAATAAAAATAACGGTCAAAAATATAATTTCCATCACCAGAACAATATTTACAAAGCATAAACTTATAAACGATTCCACGTGTGCTTATAACTGTTTCATAACAACTTCAAAAGGTCGCACATAACAATGTAATTAGCAAAATTACTTACAATACATAATACGTGACCTACATTAACCTTGGGAATGAAAACTTTAATGTATATTAAGTGGCACAGATCGTCGGAGCACGCGAGGCCGATGTCTACTGCCTGCCTGCAGCTATTGGTTATTTACTTGCCCACGGTTGCTATGGCAACGGACTTAAGGATCTGCCACACTGAATGCGTTCTGTGCGCTTATTTCCAAAGGTCTCAGACTCTATTGTTCTTCTTTTGCCACCGGATCAATGAAATTTTAAAGTATACTAAGAAAATGCTTTTATTATTAACCAGCTTTTGCCCGCGGCTTCACCCGCGTGCAATTTAGTTTGTTAATCTGGGTTACAAAAAATAATACTGTAAAGTTTCAACAAAATCCGTTCAGTAGTTTTTGCGTGAAAGAGTAATAAACATCCAGACATCCAACCAAACTTTCGCATTTATAATATTAGTAGGATGTCGTGGAACTCGTGGACCCGTTGGGAATCAATGTCTGAACTTACATTTTTTTAAAACAATAGATAATAGATCTGTGGACCTTTGGGAATAAGCCGTTCTGCGGTCAGCGGTCAGGTCAAAGTAAACGCAGCCCGCATTAGGTATGAACAGCATTGACGGTCTCTACATTTTGTATTGATGCGATCTGACCGTGCACAAGCAAAGAACGCAAACAGTCACGACCGCTGACCGATTGTTTTTCCCGTTCCGGGACTATCCCCACCTCTCGTTCCCACCGCTGCAACTCCTGTGTAGCCAGGTTCTACAGCTTGACCGCCAATAACCCAACCAGTGAAGGTCAAGTTTGTCCCGGGGGAAGTTAAACTGTCATTGGACCCGCAATGAAAATAATCAGAAGAACATTGTTGCACACTTTTGCCCGGACCGCTGACCGTTGCCCTGAACGACAATGTTGTTCATACATAATGCGAGCTGCGTTCACTTTGACCTGAGACCGCTGATCGCAGATCGCATTCAGTGTGGCAAACCCTAATAAGTGCGTGCACTTGTTTGTACGTTAGGACCTTTCGCGGCGAAACCCGGCGAGGTCAATTTCAGGTTACGTATGATACGTAATTTCAGTTGAAAATAGAATAAGTGCGGCTTTGTAGGTATTTTGCGACTGATAAGGATATCTCTGAAACTCATTCATGTAAACCCGAGATAAAATACTTTACTGGTGCGGTTACGATATCTGTCGGTGCAACACAGATAATGATGATACCAAAATTGGCGCTGTTTCGAAAATTTTGCGAAAAGTGGATCATATAATCTTTCGAGCTTATGTACGGTGGGATCGTTTTGGTATCCTCAGAATCAATGCCACGTCGTCATTCAAAGAAAGGAATAAAAATTAGTAGCATAAACTTTGTAAATAAAAACAAAATACGAATGCAGAAATTAATCGCACGATTCAACTTTCATTCATCAAACTGCATAAATACACGTCTAATAAATTACTTACGAAAGAATAATGTTAACGACAGATTAGTTTTATCGATATAACAAAATAAAAACTAATTGTTCACCGTTTAACTAAACACAAATTATGCTTTTTGATATGCGGACGGATTTCGTTAACAATTTTACGGTATGAATCTCTTATCATTATCACGAAATTAATTTAGCTGAATTGTATCACTTATCAACGTTCTCTTATCGTGTATATTGACTTTGTTTGCTTCATTCACTTTTATAACTTTTTATTGAGTGAAATAATAAATACAAAGATTTCTCTTACGAAATTCTAGTTCCATTAATAAAGTTACACTATCACGCACTACTGAATAACTTCTCACTACGTTTACGCGAATCGACTGAACACCTGAAAAGCCGCTAATGTTTTAATCTATTCGACATGACGTACGAAACCCCGGCATACATAATACGAATGCGGCGCCCGCGCACTGTAAAGGCCAAAGCACACGATGCGTTGCGGCGGTGAGACGCCGGAGCGGTGTCGCTGCGACGTCTAAAGGTGGCGGTTCGCGTTGCGACAGAGACAAGAGACCGAGACAAGAGACTGAGGCAGGAGATCGCGACCGTTACTAACTAAAGCAGAGACCTGTCTGTCTCTGTCTCGCTTGCGAACTTTCGAGTTCGAGTGTTGCGAGCTTATACATTGTCTAAAGTCAAGTAACATTCGCGGTCTCGCGTCTCGGTCTCTGTCGCAACGCGAACCGCCACCTTTACGTAGAAATATCTGTGGCGGGCACACCAGCGGTGCGGCGCCGCGCCGCGTGATACAGCGAAATCATTGCGGCGCGGCGCCGCAACGCATCGTGTGCTTTGGCCTTTAATTGTGTTCATTCAAGCGTCCAAATTACTATTACAAATATTCAGCTGATGAGCGAGAGGTAGCCACGTTAATATGCTTATCGGATTATTGTCCTTATGTGGACATGGCTGTTAATTATAAAAACGCTCGGTTAATGTTTCGTTCGTTTCAGTCAAATGACGTTCACTGCTGGACAAAGGCCTCCCCCAAGGATTTCCACGCCCGGTCCTGCGCGATTAATGCTTATTTATGTTGAAAGACAGTTCTTTCGTCCGGCAAAGTTTGAAAGACAGGGGAACAAGTAAAAATACCTTTTAAATAAGGTTATTACTTCTGCCATCAAAACCAACGTTTTGATGGCAGAAGTAATAATTGGTGAATTATTTCAAAGTAAAAGTATCCATCAATTAATCAGCTAGGTAAGCTGTTTAGATCGAAATATTTTCTTGTATTGCCCGACGTTCATGTCTTCGCATGCTTTATTGAAAAGCGATTCTCAAACTTTTGTACCCAGGGAACCAACATTCGACCTGACCTTACCTTAACAGTGAATTAAAAAAAAATATTTTGATAAGTGAACATAATCGAGTCTGTGTTATCATCGATTTATTGAACAAAATTATCATAAATAAGGTCCCCTTAGGGTTTTGGCAAAAAAGTTTGAGAGCCAGTTCAGGCATCGCGTTGCCTTCGCCATTCAGCTGCCAGTCGCGTGCCAGACGACCATAGCTTACCCTGACATGCCGTCGTTTGAACTGAACGTTCAGAATACGGGTTATGCAAGGCACAGCAAACAGCTGTAAGCTTGAGTTATGTTACTTTGAATTAATTATCGTCATTTCTCCTTTTTGACGAGAAACGGGCGATATCCGGGACCTTTTTTTCAGTTTTTTGGGGCTAAGATTATATTTAATACACTTTTTCATGTATGAAGGTGGATGGAAATGTATTTGTACATTTTTACATACTACACTCCATTTGCCACTTTTAATAGGTCAAAATATTGAAAAAACTTTTTCGAAATCACAAAAAATTTCGATACAACACAACCAGCTCATCTCCAAAATATCACAAGCTTTTGGCTTTACATGTCATTAATCGTTGCTTATTCCGTATTTTTGTCTAACATTATACCGATTTATATAGATACGTGTCTAAATCGGTATAAATTGTACATAAGAAAATTCGAATTTTACGAACGCAATTTTGTTATCATTAAGATTTCACCGAGTGACACTAATTCGTAAACGATTCGTAGCAATTTCAGTAGCCATCCGCGCATGTAACGTCGGTACAAAAATAGTCTATTATTATCTATTGCAAATTCGAATTACTGTGTAATTGCGTACTGTTGCATACAGCGATCGACGGCACGCGTCATTTATTAGAGACTCCAGGGTCACCGCGTAAGCGCTCTACATGTGTATTTATAATCATGATGTACGGATAAAAACCGATAAATTAACATAATCTTTATGCCTTTTTAAACAGAGCTCAAAATTTGCGTGATTTTTCATTTGATCGTAAATTGTTGTTCAATTAAGTTGTCTGCATTACTGATTGATTCAAACTTTATTGTCTAAAGGCGTGTAGACATGAGTTAACTTTCTCAATGGTCTAAGCATTTCTTTTAAAGATCTTCGTCTTTTACATAACGTTTTTTACGATAGTGAAATTATATTTCGAAATAGGTTTATTTCGAATCGAATACTTCAATCACGACTGTTTCCTCGAATAAATTTAATTACTCCGTTAATTATTACGCATATTAATTTGAAACTGGATTAATATGCAGAATATCGTGTTAACATTCTGTCCGACAAAAGGCGGATAATTATCAGCCTTTAATACTGAAAATCAATTAATAAATGCATTGCAATATTCAATGAACTGTTCATGTGTACACACCTTTGTACGTTTAATCGTATACATCACGAACCGTAAAGATCGGAATGTTATCTTTTTTCATCTAATTATAATAGTACCATTAAAACTAATTTGCGTAATTGATCGATTTATTTTTTATTTGAAATGTTTATAAAATCAGCAAGTCAAGTTTAGATGCATATCTTAGATAGGTATTGTTGCTGGCAGTTTGGCCAGCAATCCTTTTTTAATATTGTTTATGGTTTTTTACTTTTGTTTAATATTGTTTTTTAGATTTTTGAAGTTGCTTTTGCTACGCGCGTGTTCTGTTAATGTCTTGAGCAATATACCTACTGTTTTGGCCTTATTTTGGTGTTTCCTTGCTTCTTGAATAATATCACCACCGGCAGGCCTATCTCTATAATACAGTCCACTCCATCGTTTTTAACAGGTATTGTATCGTTTGGTGATTACGGACCGAAAGAGGTAGGGGCTCCCACTCGGTGGACAAACGATCTGGTAAAGTCACCAGAAGCACGTGAAGTGACAGCTCAAGACCGGTCGCTGCAATTGTTTGGTTGAATCAAATTCGGACTGCTGACTGCGGAGTGGATCTTGTGTTATACAAGATCCACTCCGCAGTCAGCAGTCCGAAGCCGCCTCACGGATCACCTCAGAATACAGAACAAACCAGAAGGAGTGTTCGATAACATTTCTACGCGGCAACTTGTGTCCAAAATACTTCCCCTCCCGCGCCCCTCTACCCCCTTTAGTGTTACTAGCGCCGTGTGACACTCCCATTTTTGGGGTAAAATTATGTAATTTTTTAAAGAGATGTTAAACAAGTAAAAAATAAGTAAGTGAAATAAGTACACACGGCCACAGTGTTAACTATCCATTTCCGTTTTTGCTCTCGCTCTTATCAAATGGTGATTCTTTGCGATAGAACGAGACGACATGACTGGCCATAGGCATAGATAGTACCTACCTACCTATGAATTTAATTTTTACTCCGAAGTAACTAAGTGTAGATGATTATTTATTTCTATTAAATAGTGTAATATACTATATGTAGGTATAATATGTTATTTAAAAGTCAATTACAAAAGTCGAATATAAATTTTAGAATGCCAAGTAAAACAAAAAAGAAACTTAAGGTTCTTTATTATGTAAACATATCGACAACAAAACATTTGTTTACGGCGCAGTAGTGCTTTTAGTTTAACTTTTCTTGGAGTCAAAAACAGAATCCAAATCAAAAACATCACCAATACTTAAATTTGATTGCGAGGCAACTCTGGCTGTGTATCCTGAAAGAAAATCAGAGTAAGTATGTAAGCAATAATTAATTACTTAAAATTATTATTAAATATACAAATATTGCTGCTGCTGATCTGTTGATACCAATGCCTTACTTTTGAATAAATGGGAAAGTATGAAATTCACGATAGTAATTTATTATCTCCTCATTATTAGGGAGTAATATTATAAATTAATTCAATATATTAAAATCAAATCAAAATTAAAAATATTTATTCAGTTTAGACCACAAGTGGCACTTATAATTTAATTAATCAGGTTGTCATGTCATGGATGAAATTACACTGAAAACTAATTAAAACAAAAAGGATGGGGAAAATATTCCATTATTCTGTGGTAACGCTAACAAAATTAACGCGTGAATTTTTTATAGACAAATGTAATTCAATATAAAAAAAAGTAGGGTAAAATATTCCGTTGACCTGTGGCAACACTTACAAAATACAACCGTGATTTTTTTTGAAAATTATTATTTAATTAAAATGAATTGGAAATGTGCTACTTACGGATAAAACATGATCCCATGCACTTTCTTCGTAATTCCAGTAGCATTCTTACATGTTGGAACGGCACAAGACGGCATAATTTAATTATAAAGTGTCAATCTGACGGATATGTAAACAATGCGCGCGCCGGCCATTGACTAATTGCTCTAAAGTCAAATTAGTGCGATTTGGAGTAATTTATATAGTTCCAAAATACTGAACTGTCCTACGCATGACATTGACAGTGGGGCGCCACCGTCTATACCGGATCGTCGGTTCCGATTTTTGCCATGTTGGAAACCATATAGTTGAACGATGGTAGCGCCCCCCTGTCATTGAGTTTGGTGGGACAGTTCAGCGTGGGTCATCTATATGAATACACATTTACGCCCGTTGACGGTTTCTGGTTTGTTCCGTATTCTGAGCGGATCACATAAGTATTAAAGTTATTTTTATAGTGAAAACGTTATACCGTTTTTTTATTTATTTTTTAATTAATAATTATACCGTTAACTGATTGTGTTCTAGTCTCGTTATTTTGTTTAGTGTACGTCTTGGAACAATTGTGGAGTTTATTTTTATAAATATTTTGTAAATGTAATATTTTAGGTCTACCTTTTTTTTTAATATTTTATTTTGTATTTATGTAAATAAATTCTTTTTTTATTTTAACAGCAGCGCCCTCTGTTGCGCGTCTTTTTGCCAGGAAGTGTTACGAACCGACACGAATTTTATTGATAAACTTCATCAGTGTCAAAAGGACGCATAATTGTTGTAATAACCCCCATGTTGGTACCCGCTGAAAACCAGCTTCGTGACTTGACGACTTGTGTGTGTCATGTCACGATTTTCGCTGAGCGGGCGCCTTTTCAGCATGGCTCAGTAATATTTAACCTCTGTACATGTATGCACATAAATGTTAATGCTGAATAAAGGTATTCTATTCTATTCTATTCTATTCACTCGGGCTGGTTTTAGTGACACGCGGACCGTCCGGTGCGGATCCGCTCCTCACAGGCGATCTGTATGAACTTCTAGGGAGCGTTTTCGAGTAATGCGGTTCACAGGAACCGCTCGCTCCTTAGGGGGGATGGGGGCCTCGTCCTAGGGGGACGGGGGTCTCATCCTAGGGGGACTGGGATCTAGTCCTAGGGAGATGGGGATCTGGTCTTAGGGGGATGCCTGGAGGGTCGGGGGTTTCTTCCTGGGGGACGGGGGGTCTTGGTCCAGGGGAGGGCAGTCTGGTCCAGGAGAGGGCAGTATGGTCCAGGGGAGAGGATGTGTGTTATTATTGTCTCATCTTACATACCTGTTGAGGCTGATGAGCTGCGACTTGAGCAGCTTGAAGACGATGCGGGCGTCCTCCTCCATGATGAGGCCGGCCTTGGCCATGTCGTTGGCCACCTCCTCGCAGTCGTCGTGCTCCATGTCGAACTCGAACTGAATCGCTTCGTTCTCTTTGTGGGTGTACGACCTGGGCATAACAAACTGAATGGTAACTTGTCTTATGGTTACTAGACCAGTACCTCTAGTACGAAAAACTTTCGAGTTCGTTTCGTTTGCGTATTCAAAGTGTCATCGAAAAATTTTGTATGAAAAATTAAACAGCGCCCCCTAGGGCGGCTATAATATAGTGGGCGCTGTTTAATTTTTCATACAAAATTTTTCGATGACACTTTGAATACGCAAACGAAACGAACTCGAAAGTTTTTCGTACTAGAGGTACTGTAGGCCTAAGATGCGCGCCGCGATAAGCGGTTATCACGCCATTTTATCGATTTTGCCCATACATTTTGACGTCAATAAAAGTTATCACGGCGCGCATCTTAGGCCTACTGGGCATATTAAACTAAATGGTAACTTGTCTTATGGTAACTAGACGATAGAGGATAACATAAGAGACCGATAGACACTGGCCTTCATTTCTAAGCAAATAAATGATTTCATTTTAACAAGGAAAAGAAGAATGAGGTATTAGACCAGCAATGTCAATGGACTAATGGAAAAATCCAATTAAAGCCGGTAGCAGAGCACCACTACCGAAACAACATCCATCTAAGCGGTCACTTGCCCGCACTAGCAAACAGGTTTCAGAATAATATTTTACTAATTTTGCTGTAGAAAGTATTTCATAGGTATTTATGAGATTATTATTCCCAAATGCACTGAAGCAAACGTGACCGATTAGTGAAATTAAGTGAAGCCTTATTTCATTCATTAAACAAATATTACCTAAAGCCTTATTTCACTACACAAATACCACCTATTCTTGTCTGCTGCTTAATATGCTGGCATCAGACAGTCTAATCTTCAAATACATTATATTATGTCCTTTCATTTCTGTTTAAGTTTACATGTGACTAGAAGAGTTATTAGGCTTGGTTTGCACTTAGTTAAGTGATAATTTTTGTGAGTCAAATGCGGGCAACGCAGAACTGGTCGCTATGGAAATCCTTGGGGGAGGTCTTTATCTAGCAGTGGACGTCATTGGGCTGAAACGATAAGTGATCAAAAAGGTATACCGTTTCTTGGGGTCGATGATCTTAAGCCGGAACTGTATCTTGGTCATATCGGAGGACGTAACAAGGTCTCGGCCCACGATCTCCAGCCGTAGACCGATGTCTTCGCCGAAGAACTCGTGGTTTAACAGATCTTTTACTTTGGGGCGATCAGCTTTGTTCGGCCTGATGCAAGACTCGATGATGTCCCGCACTTCTGGGATGGTGACCTTTTCCAGACTTTGAGGTTTCACACCCTAGGAAGAAAGGGTAAATTAATAGGCGCCAAAAGTTCAAATGAATAAAGTTCGAAGGTAGTTGCGAAGTATTATTATTTGCCATTTTCATCTCATAGTAATGTTTGTAAATACAGGAGTTAGCATTCTACTAATCACACCTGTGCAACTATTAAGAGTCTAGTTCAGTGAATTGAGGGCTAACCTACAGACTCCTATGTTGGCACCATTGTAGATTAAGGTTATATTACTCGCTAGAGGCTAAGACAGTGGCGCCAACTGTTGAGCGCTGAAGCAGTAAGTCCTCCTACTGCTTCACATCTTCATCACATTTACATTGACTAGGGTTGGCTCTAGAGTGGTTTGTCAACTAGGGGCCAAGGGGGGCAAGGGGGCCAGGGTGCGCTAGGGGGGCCATGGGAGGCGCTGGGGGGGGGGGGGGGCAGAAGTTCGCTAAGGGGACGCTAAGGGGGCACTCACCGACACGACCTTCTTGTATATCTGCGCGGGCCCGCTGCACTCGCTGTAGGGCTGCTCGCACGCCTGGGGCGCTAGGAGGGCCAGAGGTCGCTAGGGGGCCGGAGGGGCGCTAGGGGGACGCTAGGGGGGCCATGTGCGTTAGGGGGGCCAGTGGGAAGCTAGGAAGGGGGGGAGGAGGAGGAGGACGCTAGGCGGTGGCAGTTATGCCGGGGGGCCAGGGGGGCCGGGAGGGCACTCACCGAAACAACCTTCTTGTATATCTGCGCGGGCCCGCTGCACTCGCTGTAGGGGTGCTCGCCGGTGCTGCTACGGCGCCTAGGGCGCTAGAGGGGGCTAGGGGGCGCTAATGGGAGTCAGAAGCCACTAGGGGGGCCAGTGGGCGCTAGTGGAGGAGAGTCGGCGCTAGGGGGGCCAGGGATCTCTAGGTGGGCCAGGGGGCGTTATGGGAGCCAGGGACCACTAGGGGGGGCTGCTAGGGGCAGGGGGCTGGGAGCCACTAGGGGGTAGGGGCCACTAGGGGGGCCAGGGGGCGACTAGATGGGGGCAGGAGTTCGCTAAGGGGAAACTAGGGGGGCACTCACCGAAACAACTTTCTTGTATATCTGCGCGGGCCCGCTGCACTCGCTGTAGGGGTATTCTCCGGTGGCCATCTCCAGCATACACATGCCGAAAGCATAAACGTCCACTGATTCGTCGTAGTGCTCCTCGTACATTTCGGGCGCCATGAACTCGGGCGTGCCTGTGGGAAAAGTTGACAGTTGCAATATGCATAATACATTTTTGTTGAAAAATAGCCTGTATTATCATGGTATGATATGCCATGCTGTCGTCTTAAAGTCCGGTCGCCTAGCAGATAGAATTTCGTCCAATGACCCCAAGTTACCCATCCTTATCGCTCGCACGTTATTATATTGCTGTCGCGACTGTGCGACGGGCGGCTGCAGTGAGCACACGCGAGCGATAAGGATGGGTAGCTTGAGGTCATTGGACGAAATTCTATCTTCTCGGCGACCGGACTTTATACGGGAGAGTTTACGCAAATACAGGACTGAAGTCGAGTACTCGTGTGGCGATTTCCACCCGCACGTAATATGGAACGATCAACGATCGATTGGCGGGTGGGTGAGGTTAACAGAGGTTTCTGCTCCGGAACAGGGACAAATGCTTCGTGAGTTCTTAACCTTGCTCTCTACTTTATGAGCTACTGTATAAAATACACATGTGTATACTATGAAAGATCACACAGTAAAAACGAACTTAGAGTTCATCATCATCATCAACATCTCAGGCATAGGACGTCCACTGCTGAACATAGGCCTCCCCCAATAATTTTCATGATATGATTAGTAGCGGCCTGCGTCCAGCGCCTTCCTACTACCTTTATAATGTGTCGGTCCACCTTGTGGGTGGACGTCTCACGCTACGTTTTCCGGTTCATGGGGCCCTAGTTCATTAGGACGCCTATGGTAGCACCATCGGTCGCGCAATCGTGGTATGTAAATGAGATCAGGGTTCGAAAATATCCGATATTTATTATAAATATCAAAATANTCATTTATTAAGGAATAAAATGTGTTTTTCTTTAAGGATATTTATTGGGCTTTCAAATAACACCAATATTGTTAGGGCACCATTATTGTGTCAAAAGAAAATTTTTAAAGTTCGCGTCGCGGGTGGTGCGATTTATTTGCTGTCGAGTGTATATCTTGATATATATCCTTTGATATATATCCTCGAACCCTGAATGAGATAGGGCCCGAAATACTTCTACTTGGCCACTCACCGATGACGGACTTGGCGAAGCTCCTGTTCTTGAGCGTGGCCAAGCCCAGGTCGCCGATCTTGACGCTGCCCGTCGTGCCCGTGATGAAGATGTTGTCGCATTTCAGATCTCTGCAACACAATGATGGTTTAAGCCTTTAACGGACATAAAAAGTATTTTTTTTAATGTTACTACCCGCTGCCGGATAAAAGTTATTTGCTATGCCTTATAAAATATAGCTGGGTTCTTGCGACCAAAACACCGTATTGTGACAAGCTTTGTAACACATTATAGTTCAACAATTCCCATCAGATGTCGTAGGAATCAAGCTGTATTTTATAAGTAATGCGGAGAGGCAAGGAATGCACTAAACATTGGCTTTCCTGGCTCTTTTGAGGTCTACTTTACTCCTGCTTGTTATTACATTTTCACGGCTTCATCAGCAGATCTGAATTTCAGTACAATATTTGACTAGGGTTGGGAACATAAACCTTTTGTTGCAAAGATGATGAGCATTTTTTATAGGGAACTCATAAAAAAATAAAGTTTTTTGCGCCATAATTTCTGTGAAACACCGAAATCCTGCAGCCACAAAACCACGAAGTTATATCCTACTAAAGAAACCACGGGTTGGAAGACGTAGCGTGGGCAGGCCTCCTACTAGGTGGACCGACGATCTCGTAAAGGTCGCGGGAAGAGCCTGGATGCGGGCAGCGCAGGACCGTGCATTGTGGAAAACCTTGGAGGAGGCCTTTGTCCAGCAGTGGACGTCATTTGGCTGAAACGAACGAACGAAAGAAACTTTCAGTGACGTAGTTTACGGTGTACGAAGCTCGCACTATAATAATCTTATTTTATACAATGGTACGATGTATGAATGTCATACCTACCTGTGAATGATCGGCGGCGTCCGCGAGTGTAGGAAGTTGAGTCCCTTGAGGATCTGGCGGCACCACGACTTCAGCACCTTCGGGTTGATCCGCTTGAACCTCCGCAGGTACCTGCGAGAAGATACGTATGTTTTTATCCAACACATTCTGTGACCTAAGAAACTCTGAGGCCCAGAACACACGGTAAAACGCAACTGCAACGAAACTGCAACTTCTAGTTACTTTTGAGTTGCATCTAAGTTTCTGTCATAGCGTCCGTTGAGAGACCACACATGACGCGACCAGTTTGAAAACGGTCAAACCGTCTATGGCAGAAACTTAGATGCAACTCAAAAGTAACTAGAAATTGCAGTTTCGTTGCAGTTGCATTTCACCGTGTATTCTGGGCCTGAGAGATCCTACAAAACCTTGACTTTTTGGGTTTAGTTTTGCTCGCCAAAAGAAGTCAGTAGGGCTGTAGTCTGTTGTCATTGACAGACTGTTGTGTTACTCACATTAAATTATGTAAGAATATAGAGGTTTTTAGTGAGCGTTTTTTTATAAAAATAATCTGCGATGGCTAAATGGGACGACATTTTTCGTGTGATAACTTACTCATAGGAAAAGAAAAGACAGGTCACTGTATTAACTTGTGCTCACCAACTGTCGCCTAATTCACGTATTTTGACACAGTCAAAATCTCGTTGACGTTTAGAATTCGTACTATTGAAAAACAGTTTTAAATCCGTATTCACAAGGGTCATTTCGATAGAACAATTACTCGATAGGATCGAAACTCAGCGATTCGTTGTCGTTGAAGTTTTGTTACGTGAATAAGGCTACTGGCGCCACTGGCGAGAAACGCCCTGTCACTCGCTAGTGGCTAAAACAGTAGCGCCAACTGGCAAGTGTAGATATGATAAGAGCGCTATAGTTATTGGCAACTATTAAAGCCCTTTCTCTCGCAAGTGGCATCATCTAGACCTCATCTGAGTGAAGACACTTTCATTTAACGCTACGCTACGAAGTTAGAAGTAAATAAAAAGTGTTGCTTACGCTTTGAGCGTTCCAGACAGCATAAGCTCGGTGATAAGCACAATATTCTTGCGCTTGGCCACGGTACCCTCCCAGTAGTTGTAGAACCGCACTATGTCACTCGCTACTTCGCGAGTTGCGTTATCTTAGCGACAGCGCACACTGGGCGACAAAACGCGGCGACAGACGCGAACACAAAACGCATCCGCGCGTCGCAATGACAACCTAATGATATGAAATGACGCGCGCATGCGTTGTGGCCGCGTCTGTCGCCGCGTTTTGTCGCCCAATGTGCGCTGTCGCTTTGTGAGCGCTAGTATAGTACTTCTTCAGACTTCTAGGGAGCGTTTTAGAGTAATGCGGTCCGCAGGAACCGCTCGCTCCCTAGCAGTTCATACAGATCGGCTGTGCGGAGAGATCCGCGTGACACTAAAACCAGCCTAACCCTTATTTATGTTTAAAGTCCGGTCGCGCACACAGTCACTGCGGCCGCCCGTCGCACAGTCGCAACAGCAACATAATTACGCGCGAGCGATAAGTATGGGTAGCTTGCGGTCATTGTACGAAAATCTGTCTGCGACCGGACTTTGTTGACATGCTTAGAGTCGATTGATATAAAAGGTATTTAGGACCGTATTAAGTTATTCATAAGATTCCTTACGCTTTGAGCGTGCCAGACAGCATAAGCTCGGTAATAAGCACGATGTTCTTGCGCTTGGCCACGGTGCCCTCCCAGTAGTTGTAGAATCGTACTATGTCACTCGCTACTTCGCGAGTTGCGCTATCTTAGTGACAGCGCACACTGGGCGACAAAACACGGCGACAGACGCGACCACAAAACGCATCCGCGCGTCGCAATGACAAGCTAATGATATGAAATGACGCGCGCATGCGTTGTGGCCGCGTCTGTCGCCGCGTTTTGTCGCCCAATGTGCGCTGTCGCTTTGTGAGCGCTAGTATAGTAAGGCTGTTTTTAGTGTAGCGCAGACTGTCAGTGCGGACCCGCTCCGCACGGCCGATCTGTATGAACTTCTAAGGAGCGTTTTAGAGTAATGCGGTGCGCAGGAACCGCTCGCTCCCTAGCAGTTCATACAGATCGGCTGTGCGGAGCGATCCGCACTGACAGTCCGCGTGACACTAAAACCAGCCCAACCCTTATTTATGTTTAAAGTCCGGTCTCGCTCACAGTCACTGCGGCCGCCCGTCGCACAGTCGCGACAGCAATATAATTTCGCGCGAGCGATAAGGATGGGTACTGGAGCTTGGGGTCATTGTACGAAATTCTGTCTGCTCGGCGACCGGACTTTAACTTAGAGTCGATTGGTATAAAAGGTGTTTTAGACCGTATTATGTTATAAATAAGTTCTCTTACGCTTTGAGCGTTCCAGACAGCATAAGCTCAGTAATAAGCACAATATTCTTGCGCTTGGCCACGGTGCCCTCCCAGTAGTTGTAGAACCTGACGATGTTAGGATGTTGTAGCTTCTTCAGCATGTCAGCTTCCTCGCGGAAGCGGAGACGCTCCGTTTTGTTCAGCTTTTTCTCCTGGAAAAGGGAATAAAGACTTTGAGAGACTAGTTTGAGAGTCGAGTGTCGCATGTTGTGTAAACCTTCCATGAAACATGTTTGTGTTATTTGCCGAGAGATGTCACTGCTCTTTGAGACGCGTAAAGCTGTACCGCGGTGTCTAGATTTTTTTCCCCTATTATATATACCCTGGAGTGTTTTGACATAACAAGCAATAAATTGACACCTAAATATTGACATCTTATTTAAACCTAGATAAGAGTCCCTTAAGTGCGCCGAGAGTATCCGTGGTTTATTCACATGTCTAGCCGAATTGCTGTACAATGACACTTGCCAAGTTGTCAAAGTGCGAAAGATTTATTCAGTTCATACTATAATACCAAATCGCTCCTATTTCTACTCCTGTATAACCAGGATACTTTGACAATATATTATAAACAGAGTGCAAAATAGCATCCATCGCCGCTACATAATCCGAAAAACATTTCCATATCCATAGTTACAAATGTTGCCATCCCCTTCACGCAAAGCGAAATGGCAGCATGAGCGACGGTGTCAGATAGACCCGAAACTACGTAAACAGCATTTCGAGGTAGCCCTGTAAATGCCACATTGCTTCGTCTATACTTACTAAGCCTGAGTTGCACCACCTGACTTTGACCGTAATATGGTGATAACCGGTGTTTTTTTGTATGGAGTTCGACAGATTTTTGACGTTTGTCAAAGTTAAAATAAGATGGTGCAAGCCTAAGTGTTTGACCCCAACCGGCACCGAACCCGCAACTCACCAGTAATTCGCACCAGGCGACGGCGACTCCGGTCTGCGTGTCGAGCCCGTGGTACACCGTCTTGAACGAGCCCCGCCCCACCTCTTTATCGTACTTGAAGAACCTGAAAGAGACATAATGCTTAGAATAAACCGTTGAACTACAAGTTAAGATGTTGCCAATATAATTAGAGATAACTCAGTTAGTTTGAGTTTGAGTTGGCCATATTATTTAAGTTTATTTGCTTTTATTAGGTTTTTTAATATGGTTTCCTTTGTATTTTTTATACCTAGATACTTTTTTCTGCTTTTTTTTCTCGTTTAAAAAAAAAACAAGATATATCGTCTAATTTTGCCATAAAAGGAGTCTATCAGCAGAATTACTTTGCTTATACTCTATACAATTATGAAAATAAAATCCAAATTAATCGCCGCCCGAAGTACAGTGGGCCACAGTTCCAGCAATCCATTTCCGTTTTTTCTCTCGCTCTCATCAAATGGTGATTCTTTGCGATAGAACGAGACAACTTGACCGGAAATAGCTAGGAACTGTGGCCCATAGTACGTACAGTCGGGAGCACAACACTAAAACCCGTATTCACAAACATTACTATGAGGTCTCACAGAGCGCGTGGACGCACAGGGTGACACACGAACCAATCACAGAGCTCTATTCAACGCTGTGCGTTCGATTTGCTGCTTCACTAAAGCAAGCATCGCAAGAATACGGGCGTAAATATTTCATTGCAAACTAGACTCTATTATGACTAAAGTACGGCCAACGAGAAGCGATACCAAATGTAAACAAACCCAATGTCATGGGTGAACCCGTCTGACTTTGACATATTTTGGCGGGAGAACGAGACATTACGACAAATACACAAGATGGGAAGAGACAGAATATATTGTCAACTCGACAGTCGTGTCGACCTTTTGTATCGCTGCTAGTTGGCCGTACTTTACATAAGGATTAAACCACAGTATTTGTACAGTACGTAAGTACCTGCCGCAAGGCGAGACTCCAATTGGCTCCTCCTCATCCTCCTTATCTGGCTTCATGTCTTTCTGCAGCTCTAACTTGTCCGGAGGGTAGATAGGGCTGAACTCTAGACCTGTAACGTATAAAGACATTCTTTTACTTATCAGGACATGCACAAAATACTAAAAAAATATTTATTTATTTAATTTGCCTCTGGTAAATTAGATAGGGTCGTGCTACTGCAGTGGAGACAAACGCCCGTATTCACAAACATTACTATGAGGTCTCACAGTGCGCGTGGACGCACAGGGTGACACACGAACCAATCACAGAGCTCTATTCTTTGCGTTCGATTTGCTACTTCACATAAGCAAGCATCGTTTGTAAATACGGGCGTTCGTTATCAGGACCACGCCTGTTCATCTCCGAGAGTTTACATCGAAAACAAAACACGCACGATGGCCCACCTACAGGATACTATTCGACAAGGCCTCACATACGAGCGAACATTGACTCACGCACGCGTATTCTTGTGTATGATGGAAGAAAATAAAGAAAATGGTGTACTAAATAGTGTGCAGTATTTAATTGCCTAAATAATAATAAAAACACAGAATGTACTTTTTTAAGTTGCCTCAACACACTGAGAGGTAAATAAGTAGTTAATATTATTCATGATAATTCATGCTAAATCGTGTATTTCCTCCGCCATTTTCTGCAGTTTGGCACCTCACGTCACATCATTTTACCGAAGTCAGCCCTATAGCTTCGGCGCAGTGCCGATCACTGACGTTTGTCAACAAAATGGTGCTTGACTCTTGAGTCAGGCTAAATTACACCATATTGTTAATGACATTGAGCATAATTTTTTATAAATACCTTCGCGAAGTAAAACTTCTGTACGTAGTACTTATTATTATTCTGTGTCAGGACATGCACAAAATACATACTATGAAAATATTTATTTTATTTGCCTCTGGTAAATTAGAGAGTGCAGTGCAATGGACATTGGAGACTAAATGAACTGATAATGATGAATGATTTATTTGGTATCAAATAAGTATGGACGCCAGGATACTCTTCTGAAGAAAGAGCTAATAAAATTTCGAACTAAGATAATAATACCAAAAGTTCAAGTAGTAGTCTAGCGCATAACTGAGTCATTGACATTATACAGGGTGTTAGGTAAATGGGTATATGAGCCGACACTAGCCCATGTTAACATGGGCATATAAATGTTAAGGTGAAGTCAGAAATTTGATATCATCATTTTAATTTTTTTAATTTTCATACAAAATAAATTTTATAAAATCCGATTTTGTATGAAAATTAAAATAATTAAAATAAAGATATCAATTTTCTGACTTCACCATACCATTTATATGCCCATGTTAACATGGGCTAGTGTCGGCTCATATACCCATTTACCTAACACCCTGTATGACGTCAAAGAGCATACTAATATGAAGGACATCTGAAGTCTCGCTGACATATGATGTCTCAAAAACACACTCCCGTGCCGCTCCCATTCCTCAGGCACTGATTTAGTTAAGCGCTAGACATATAGTATTTTATATTTATTTACCATTTTGGTTTTCCTGTGATGTAACTTCCCCGCTATCGTCAGGCGGGGGTAGGCGTTTCTCAGCTATATCGATGTTCTCTTCCTGAAAAGCAAAAAGTTTTCATTACTATCTCGCCAAATTATAGCGATAACCGTATTTCTGATCTATTTATTCATCTTGTAATGATAATGGATATTGAGAGATCTGTTCCTATACCTTTAATTAAACCATAATTTTACATTTACTACTTTAAGTCAAGGATATAGATGACCTACACTGAACTGTCCCACCAAACCCATTGACAGGGTGGCGCCACCATCGTTCAACTTTATAGTTTCCAACCTGGCAAAAATCGGAAACAGCGATCCGGTATTGACGGTGGCGCCTCTCTGTCAATGTCACGGGTGGGACAGTTCAGTGTATTGGGTCTTTACACCAGGGCAGGGAATAGATATCTCGTGCGTGACATATGTCAACAACATATCAAGCGAAATCGAGTGCTGTCGCTTGACATTTCTGCCGACATCGCGCAACTTATGTCGGTAGCGACGTCAGGCGAAGTCGTGCGACTTCTGTGCCCTAGTATATCACTGGCTTAACAGTGCAGGTATTTTTTATTTTATTTTTTTCGTCAGGAAATGCATGAAATTGCATACCCACTGGCCCGGGGGAACCAGTGGGTTATGTGAGGCTCTCCCTGCCAGATGGGCAGGGCCTACTCACTAAAACCTGACGGTGTCCTCCCGAAGTCTTTGGGACGGAGCTGCGAGTTATTGTCCGAGCTAGATGGCCTAGACATTCTTTCGCGGCTCCGCCCCAACAGTGCAGGTATACAGTGACTCACCAAATCCTGCTCCGAGATGAAAGCGTCGTCTTCCAAGTACTTCCAACCACGCAACGAGTTTGTTCCCACTGTCGTCTAACTCTGGGTCGCAGAGCGGACCCTGTCCGGAGCTACTACCTTCCCACTCCCACGCCCACTGCTGGTAATAATAGATATAGATGCGGTAACTCACCAAATCCTGCTCCGAGATGAAAGCGTCGTCTTCCAACCGCGAGACGAGCTTGTTCCCACTGTCGTCCAACTCTGGGTCGCAGAGCGGGCCCTGCCCAGAGCTACTACCCTCCCACTCCCACGCCCACTGCTGGTAATAATAGATATAAATGCGGTAACTCACCAAGTCTTGCTCCGAGATGAAAGCGTCGTCTTCCAATCGCGCGACGAGCTTGTTCCCACTGTCGTCCAACTCTGGGTCGCAGAGCGGGCCCTGTCCTGAGCTACTACCCGCCCACTCCCAATCCCACTGCTGGTAATGATAGATAAAGAAGCGATAACTCACCAAATCCTGCTCCGAGATAAAAGCGTCGTCTTCCAATCGCGCGACGAGTTTGTTCCCACTGTCGTCCAACTCTGGGTAGCAGAGAGGACCCTGTCCAGAGCTACTACCCGCCCACTCCCACGCCCACTGCTGGTAATACCAGATACAGATGCGGTAACTCACCAAGTCCTGTTCAAATATGAAAGCGTCGTCTTCCAACCGCGCAACGAGTTTGTTCCCACTGTCGTCCAACTCTGGGTCGCAGAGCGGACACTGTCCGGAGCTACTACCTTCCCACTCCCACGCCCACTGCTGGTAATAACAGATACAGATGCGGTAACTCACCAAGTCTTGCTCCGAGATGAAGGCGTCGTCTTCCAACCGCGCGACGAGTTTGTTCCCACTGTCGTCCAACTCTGGGTCGCAGAGCGGGCCCTGTCCGGAGCTACTACCTTCCCACTCCCACGCCCACTGCTGGTAATAACAGATACAGATGCGGTAACTCACCAAGTCCTGCTTTGAGCTACTACTCGCCCATTCCCACGCCCGCTGCTGGTAATAATAGATACAGAAGCGGTAACTCACCAAATCCTGCTCCGAGATGAAAGCGTCGTCTTCCAACCGCGCGACGAGCTTGTTCCCACTGTCGTCCAACTCTGGGTCGCAGAGCGGACCCTGTCTTGAGCTACTACCCGCCCACTCCCACGCCCACTGCTGGTAATGATAGATAAAGAAGCGGTAACTCACCAAATCCTGCTCCGAGATGAAAGCGTCGTCTTCCAACCGCGCGACGAGCTTGTTCCCACTGTCGTCCAACTCTGGGTCGCAGAGCGGACCCTGTCTTGAGCTACTACCCGCCCACTCCCACGCCCACTGCTGGTAATGATAGATAAAGAAGCGGTAACTCACCAAATCCTGCTCCGAGATGAAAGCGTCGTCTTCCAACCGCGCGACGAGCTTGTTCCCACTGTCGTCCAACTCTGGGTCGCAGAGCGGACCCTGTCTTGAGCTACTACCCGCCCACTCCCACGCCCACTGCTGGTAATGATAGATAAAGAAGCGGTAACTCACCAAATCCTGCTCCGAGATGAAAGCGTCGTCTTCCAACCGCGCGACGAGCTTGTTCCCACTGTCGTCCAACTCTGGGTCGCAGAGCGGACCCTGTCTTGAGCTACTACCCGCCCACTCCCACGCCCACTGCTGGTAATGATAGATAAAGAAGCGGTAACTCACCAAATCCTGCTCCGAGATGAAAGCGTCGTCTTCCAACCGCGCGACGAGCTTGTTCCCACTGTCGTCCAACTCTGGGTCGCAAAGCGGGCCTTGCCCAGAGCTGCGACGCCGGTACCCGCCCACTCCCACGCCCACGCCCACTACTGGTTGACTTGCCTGTAATATACGTGATCAAGTTTAAATTTCTAGAAAACTACGTAGCTTGTCGGTTGAAAAACGTAAATTCGAGACAGCAGTTTCAGTGAAAAGGATCCTACCTTTTCACTGGCTGCATTTAATGGAAAATACATGGCTTTTAAAATACTATCTGCGAGTCATCATCATCATCGGCTGTAAGGGTTTACCTAACGGTAATGTCCAGTCGGTAGCATGCTGATCATATTGCAGGTGTTTGTGGTGAATATCGAAGCCCTTTCATCATAACCTGCTCGGTATCAGTCTGTACTGGTGCTTTCCACCTTCGTAGCAAGAGACAGATTTCAGCTTTACAAAGGTTTGCAGCTGTACCATTAATCGAGAAGCCATTTGGCTGCCGCAGCTTCATCATCACCACCTGCAAGTCATCACCGGTACTTACGACGCTGGTGGTGAGCGAGTTGAGCATGTCAAAGGTGTTGCTCTGCTGCGTGTGGATGATGGCGAGCGCATTGTACGGCCGCGGGCCCAGGACGGGCCCTTTCATCACCCCCACTTCGCCGCCTACCACCACCTGTTGGTCATCATCATTTGTTACTATCATCATCATCATCGAGATACAAAAAGAGAATACTTATACGACTAAAAGGATCTTATCTTCATTACCAAACACCTTCCAACTCTCATCACCATCGAATTCAATCATCACTAATGTAGAAACCAGTTAGGAAAAAATAACAAATCACTATTGCTTAAAGTATTACAAGTTTGCTTTCATTCATATGTCCATATTAACAGATGAATGAAACCAGACCTTAATCCCTTAACTACCCTTATTTATCAACGTATCACTGAACATAAAGCAAGAACAAGAAATGTATACCAATCTGTGAAAAAATGCACTAAACATTAAATAATAGAATACCATGATTAATATATTTTGTCAAAGAAATTCTGTAACTAAGATCCTGGCACAATATTTCTGTATTAGCATTGCCTTGCATCAAAATTACTAAACAAAACCAACCTCATAGTACTCATGAAGAGCTAAACTGTCACTGTAGCTTCTACTGAGCCTCCTAGTATCCACCACCGCAACGTACATGTCACAACACGTCTTTTCTTTACTAGCACTACCGAAAATATGTCCAAGGAAGTCAAGGAAAACAATATTAATAATAAACAATCGAAGATTACTACTGGGGAGTTCTAACTAATGTTTACACTCGCACTCCCTAATAGCGACTGATAATAATTATCGGGTATGAATCAACTTGAATGCAGTGGATGAACTTGTCAGACACTTCACGATTTGTTAAGGTGCGTTTGCGGATATGCGGAGCTTGGTGCGGACTTGTAGCAGGATTAGTCTGCGTCTCCAGTCTCTCTGCTAGAGATGTGCGAGGATGCGAAGCGAGGGATGTGTATGTAAAGAACCAATAGAGTCGCTCCATTTACCGCTAGCCCTGTGCGATAATGTTTAAGACTGCCATCGTCTTTTAGTCTCCACTACAAAAGCACGACCCTCTTTAATTTACCAGAGGTAAATTAATCATATGGCCTACACATCCTGCGTTGGCCAGGACATATTCTTTTCAAACAACAGTCCTCTTTAGTTTTTGGGAAGAACTTTTCTAGCGAAACAACCATCTTAAATTATGGTTGCTATTTGCTTATATTGTATGGTTTACAGCATTATAATTCAAAATGCTCTAAAAGAACAGAGAAATAAAAAAATATGTAAGAGTTTCAAGATTTCTTAGAGAACTATGAAACGAAAAATTCGCACTGTAACTTCCTGCATCCAGCTCCACTCTCAGTGCTGCGTGTATATGATGAACGCAGCTTTATTCGCTGATAATAAAGAAAATGGACTAAATTGCCCTCGTTTAACTGTCACCCAGATCAAACAAAAAATATACGAGTTGAATCATAAGAGATTAAATTATTTTTATTTATAGATTCCAACGAACTAATCATGTTTGACTTCGAACTCATTGTTATTGTCATTATTATTTTTTGTTCCGGTTTCATATAACATAATTTAAGGAAAATCAATTATTGTAGAAATGTCATATTATTCCTCTCGCTCTCGCTTTCAAGCAACAAGAGAGAACAAGGTGTAAAAAAACTAAACAAGTTCCAAGGGTAAGTTGTAATCCCCCTGATTACAACCTTCCCTTGACTTTGACATAAATACATACGATGATAATGAACTTTGCATCGGCCGAGCAATCCACAGTTCTTGACCTTTCATCCTATCTCCTACTTCTAAGTCTTGAAAAACTAAACGTTGGGGACAACTCGATTAAGCATTTTGCTTCCTATCCCAAATCATGTGCAGCCTTCTAAAGTTAATCAGGAAACCACCATCACTACAAGGTGACACCATTGAACACCTTAGGGACTGCGCATATTCACGACAAGGGATTTTTACATATCGAATGATGATGTAACGTCCTTTGCCGTGACGTTCCGGTAATGTGCGCAGTCCCTTACGATCAGATGCTCTACTGGTGGTCTACCAACCTTGAAGGTCTTTTCCTTGCCATGCACGGTCTTCTCCTTGGCTACAGTGGTCTGCTCCAGATGGTGGGGAGGCTGCGAGATCTGGTGGCTGTGGCCATGCAGGCCTGATGTCATCTGGAATGGAAAAACAAACTATTAAATACCCTGACTCATTGATATTATTTTGAAGAAAATCCAGGAACAGTAGTACAATGCCAGGCACAGACATGTGGTCATATGCTTTACGTATTTTAATTTTAATTTATTATAACGTGACAGAGCATATAAATCTGAAGTCTCGCTGATTTTTGTTTGACGTCTCAAAATCAGGCACTGGCTGAGATAAAGATTAAAACTGTTTTCAAAGTTTTTCAAAAACTGTTTTCAAAGTTTTTCAAAAACTGTTTTCAAAGTTTTTCAAGATGTTCATTGCTGCAACTCATCAACGAAACTCGTCCTTTATATGCTTCTTTGCAAAAAAAGATGTTCCTTTACAATAAGAAACGCACATTTTATTCTTTCTTATTAACACATGTCTGTGACCGGCATAGTAACAACTATAACCACAAAATTAGCTTAAAGTACATTATTATATTACGACATGTAAACTTGTAAAGCAAACAGTTGCACTTTTGATAAAATTCTATCAATAAATGGACATTCCGAAATTCTATACTTCTGGCCATTTGGCAGAAACTATGTTAGTATGTTGCTAGTTCTTTTATACGTAAAATTATAAACACCTTGTCACATAAACATTTTATGTCGATCCTCAATAACCAACAGTTACATTATATCCGACAAATAATGGTTTAGAAAAAAAACAAAGTGTAAAACAACAAAGTTGTAACTACTGTAGAGGATACAAGTACACTTAAAACTTTTTCATTCATGTTGCACAATGGTGCGAAATAAACAGGTAAAGGAAAACCATCATCCATCATTGTCAAAGTAAAGCTGAATTTAAATGTTCGCAATATAAGAGAGAGTAGCAGGATAGCGTCCATTTGAATGATTCACTAATCATTGTATTTGTTATGTTTGATAATTACAATTTAATTTTGTTGCTGACCTGACCTGATCACCTCAGCAATCACTAGGGTAACCACCAGTTAGAATGCGTGTGTCATTCTGAACTTTGTCCCGTCAGATTTTTTAGTTTAATAGAAGATAAAATAATCTCACATTTCAACTACTGACACCAAGGTCCTAGACAATGGAGATACATTAAACGATAGTTTCTTCCGCAACATCCAGATTATCACATTATGAGAGGTCAATGCAATGCAAGCGTTTAAAGAGAGGGACTCTCTGCGATCTCTTTTAAAAACTGTAAACCCTTGAAAAAGAGGCTGACAATAGTGACTGAGTTTCTTGCGCTGTTTCTTCTCAGCACTTGCCCATTTATTGTCCCGAAACAGTGCTAGGGTCAATATTGTGTCGTGAGAAAGTGCTTTTTAAAAGACAACGACTCGCAAAAATAAAAAGAAAAATACGTGAAAATGCCTTTATTTTTAACATCTTGAGGAACTTCCAAATAAACTTAATCTAGTTAGCTCCTGTCAAGCCTTTTTGCCGTTGTGTCATCTAAGCGAGCATTTTATAACAGCAAAACATTTCGTTGGGTAATATTGTCGTAACTTAATTACAGGTTTGCGATCTAATCTTGGGCAAATCATAGCGTGATACACGAGAAATTTTACTTCAAAACAAATTTAACTGTACCCAAATAACTCTACTATACTTCAGTTAGGTCGGGGTCAAATAAGTTTGAACAATTAATGATGATTTGGACGTTATTACATTACGGACCTACTTAAATTCTTGTAGCCATTATTTTTGATAATTTAAGTTGATTTGATTAAATACCTAACTGTTATTTTTGAAACTTATCCATTTCAGTACTGTTCCAACAAAATTAACTAAATTCTCTTCACCTTAAAATTGATGACTGTTTCTGCTACAAAAAAAATTGTTATCATTTCTTTTTTTATTAACACTTAAAATACCACTATATTAGTTTTGCAGATATAGCATTATCATACATACACCACTAATAAATAACCAAAAAAATTACATAAGTTAATTTGATAGTGAAATCGACAGTTTGACATGACCAAAGTTTTGGACGAGGGATAGGTCACGTAGGCAAGGGTACCCCATTGTTAAAAATTAGAATCTATTCGAGAAAAAAAAATCCATTTAACATCATTAGACAAAGTATCGCATTTGAAAATAATAACAATTCTCGCAAATACATTTGTTCATAGAAAAAAAATCTGGATAGAAGTTGGTTTGTAAGTATGATTTTAATGATATCTGAGATATGACAATAATGCATATAATAATATGTCAAACAACTGGTTAAGCTAACTGGAAAGTGAAGTCACAGTTAATACAAATACTGTCATTCGCAGAAAATTCATAATGTTTTTATGAATAAAATAAAAAAAAACGAAAATAAAGAATCCTAAACAATCAGCCCTGTCGACATAAACAGTTATTGAAATCATTTCTTACAATAACTTATTTGAAAAAAAGTAAACACTTGCTTTTTGCACTTTATCCTACTATGTCAAACGGTAAACATTTTTTATCGCATCACTAGAGCATAGGAGTAGGTGTACAGACGACAGCACAACAAGATGAACAGTATGGTATCTTATTCAGTGGCTATAAGTGCTATTTTGCGACAAAAACGTAATAGTCTGCTGTAGTCGACTGTACTATAGTGACAAATGACGATAAGTGTTACTAGAGGCGTGCTAATTAATTTGTCCACAAAATTCTTTGGCCGTTAATAAAAAACGTAAACAAAGATAAAATTGCATCCGTTTAAAGTGTATTAATTACTTGTTGTTTCAAATATAAGTTTATTTGCGTATTATTTGATAAAAATGTTATCAACCGAACAGACAGAATTTTTTTAAGACGTTAAAAATCACCTATTCTAAAATGATAAAAATAAAATGTTTTCCTCATTAAGTGAAATAAAGTAATTCTTTTTGAGATAGCAATAAAATTTCTTTAACTACAAAATGATTAAAAAACAAGTAGTTATAATTTCTGTAATATGCACGCGGGGCAAGGATTAAAGATTTCAAAGATTGAGCGAAAGTGTAAGACTAATGAGTTAATAGAGACAAAATTACAAAATTTTAGATACTTACAAAACAATAACAAAAATCCACTGACTACACTGAATCACTAAATCACAACCAAATAAACAAGTTTCTCTAAAGAAATATTAATTAACACAAAAACTTTTGCAAACACAAACAACAAAAGTTTTCCCTCCAAACCGCATTGGTCACAGATAATAAATAGCAAACTGCGCGCGCAACTTGCGCGTACGTTCGAAAACAAACAAATGATAAACACAACTAGTTGTACTACTCCATTCATAAAATAATGGCCAAGGAATCGCACAAGGTGCAGACCGGGGTGACGATCAGTGACGAACTAATATATCAGTGTGAGCGAGTTTTATCTATGGTAATGATGGACGGACAGACAAGAAAGGTCGTGACGTATTGTTTGCGGTAATTTGAGATTAAACAGATTATCTAACTCTAGAATATGTATCGCCTAATGAAGTGTGCTTTGCACTATAAGGAAATCGAACTCCTATGTTCTTCTTATTAATTTCGTTGCGGGTCAAATGACACTAACTTTCCTCCAGGACAACTTGACCTTTACTGGTTGGGTTTTATTGGCGGTCAAGCTGTACATCCTGGCTAACAAGGAGTTGCAGCGGTGGGAACGAGAGGTGGGAACAGTTTTGTAATGAAGTGTCATTGTAATAAACGACAAATCATTATTTATGAAGTCAATTTATCAGGTAGGTTTCTTTAAATGGTATGTAGCCATAATAAATAAACCTATTAGAAAGTTACAAACAAGAACGAGTCTCGCAAAAATAATTAAAATAAGATTAAATGGCGATTTGGGGAATTCCAAAAGTTATTAATTTATTTTATCATTAGAAATAAACAAAAAAAAATACCATATTTATTTTGATCGTGACTAGGAGTCAAGGAGGTGCCATACATTAACTGATTCCCAATTCGTAAGTTTTATAATCAATTCAGTGTAAACGAATGATTCAGAAGCAGTTGTATTTTTATCAGGGATTAAATAATTATGTATTTTAATATGTGTATGGATATATAATCTCTTTGTTTTGGTCAAGAGTTTTGAATCAATGTGATTTCTGAAAAGGGACATGATTCCGTACTTCAAAATGATTTTTAGGATTCAACTAAGGCAATGTCAGGTGTCGAGGGCGGCTATAAAGTCCCGAAAACAGTGTAGGTTAGGTCTCACATACCCATACGATAGAAACGAAGAAAATATTTTTTATAATATCATAATGAACACGTCAGAAGATATTTACTTAAAATAAAACGTCATTCCTAGAAATGATGACGACTTTTCACACTTCCTAAAAGACACATTTCCGAGACCTGTGAATTTGCTAAGCGACAATATCTTCGGCGGACATTTTGTTGGAAATGTTGCCTTAATTAAATATAACTGATCATGTGAAATATTAACAATGGCTACGAACTATTTGCTTGTAATATAGTTGTCCAGTTATGAGATTGTTTCTCAAAACTTGAGATTGTGCAATTTATAATTTAATTTTAACTGTCTGTTTCTTTTATGTGTAAGGGCTTTACACGTTAATAGATATGAAAAATCGTCACCGTTATCTAGATTTCTAACACCGCCATCTCTTGGTGATGGGGGAAACATTCACCAACTACAAGCGCAAAGCCGGGACGAGACGCTAGTATCATACAAATCGCATTAGATAACAATCACAGACTCAACCGATTTTGAAATTTACGGCTTGGACATTAGAATTCAAATGCGGTTGTCGTGTGCCAATGCCATACACGTGGTGCGGTTTGCCGGCAGTAATTTTTCGCGTAGACTACACTATACAGACTTTACGGCGCTCTAAATCAGCCATAGTGGACCGTACGCGACGCCAATGCAGTAAAACGTTTCAATAAACAATAATAATATATTCAAACAAACATTTAATGACATCTAAATACGCGTAGTCACGTGCTTTGAAATAATTTATCACACAAGAAAAAAGTTTGCAAATAACCCTCCTTCTGGCG